ATGATTGTTGAATATGTTATTAAAACAGTTTGTAAGAAATTGAGTTACCGTTGTAGGAGAATTTTTAAAATGTTCAGCAGCAAGACCTAATTCATCTGTCGCCTTGCCAAAATGTAACTGTTGGACAACATCACAGATATTTTTAAAACTAAATTGTGGTCCATTGCTGCTTTGTTTACAAAGTTCATCGAAGATGTTATGACGGATATTGCAGAAATCTAAGAATTCAGGATCATATCCATTGTCTTTGGAAAGAGCCAGATCCTCGAAGTATCTAGAGAAGCTGTTTGTTTGGTCAGTTGCAGAGAAGTGGTGCTTTCCATTTTCCATTATGCAGATTGCATCTTTATTTCTGGAGCCTCTGTTTCGTCGAATGAGCTTATGAAACATATCATTGCTTGGATTATCCATTAATTCATTATAGAATTGAGCTCTTTCCAAATACTGTTGCTTTCAGAGTTGTTTTCGGAGATTTCGTTGAGCAAGTATTTATGAAGGAAGAGATCATACACTAAATACGTTGTTGCCATTTTTTTGTAATAAGTTATAAAAACTTCTTAAAAAATTACATCATTAAAAACAATCAAAGACATTTCTGAAACAATCAAATAACTTATTTCAATGGCTGTAAAAAACTTATATTAATGCCATGGTACCATTTATCCATCCATTACCTCTGTCATAAATGATATTTGTTATGAATTGCATCAAAGTTTTTGATAATTCACACATGTCTTATTGCAAAATTTATATCTTTTATGTAATTCAAATGAAATTGAAGTATAACAAATCTTACAAACTAAAAATATCCTAATCCAGCATGTTTTCGAAGTTACATAAAGTCTTATATGTACAAAAACTGAAACCCATGTAAAATAGGAAATAAAATTTTCATACTATTATATATTCAAAACCTTTGGTTACAACTCATCAAAAATTAAAAAAAAACCAATTATTTTAATATCATATGAAAAGGATATAATGAATTTGCAAAATAGTATAATATAAAAGTGAAATTTGCATAGTAAAAAGCTGATAAAGACTGTCTGACAGGTAAAATGAACATATAATGGACTAAATATTTCACTGACGGATTCAGTTTAGCATTCAGAAGCTTTTTGCTTATTATTCAAGCTCAGAATTTGGAAAGAATTTTGTTTACATTACTAACATCAGCTTTTGTTTTGAAAACAAGATAAATGAAACTAGAGGCACTAAAGAGCCTGTGTCGCTCACCTTAGTCTATGTGCATATTCAACAAAGGACACTCTCCAACATTGAAGACGAGAACAGAATTCATGAAAAATATCTCTGTTTTGTTGATTTTGTATTGCTGATCCTTTAGTCTGTTTAGTGTCCCTTTTTCTTCTTTAGTTTTTGCTCAAAACACAAAAGAGGATAAAGAAAAATTCCTAATTTAAGGGCAATCACTCCTACAAAGAGTGACAGTCTACTAACTATATCGGCAAACTTTGACTTGTAAGTAGAACTTGCATTGTGATTTAAGTGTCTATTAATCTATTTTAATTTTTAACATATAAGGCAAAATGCAAAACATTGGTAAAAATCGTCATCAAAGGGCAATAATTTCAATTAGGAGACGTTGAATGATTACCTCCATATTGTCTTAATTATAGATCTTGTCTTGTTGATCAATTTTGCTTATTTAAGTTTCTATCTATCTATTATAAATTTAAAGATATAAGGCAAAAACGCAAAAAATTGGTAAAATCGTCATCAAAGGGCTATAACTCTAATGAGAAGTCGACTGATGATTTCCACGATGCAGACTTATTCGTAGAACTTGTGATGTTTATCATTTTTGCATTTTAAAGTTTCTCTCTATCTATTATAGTTTTCAAGATAATAGGCAAAAATGAACAAAAATGGTAAAATTTGTCATTTAAGGGAAATAACTCCTATAAGAAGTCGTCTGGTAGTTTTGACGTATATGGACCAACGGTAGAGCTCATCATTCTGCACATTTTTGCTCTAGTCAGATTTTCTCTATTTATAACAGTTTTCAAAATAATAGAAAAAACTTGCATTTTACCGACGACGACGGACGCCAAGTGATGAGAAAAGCTCACTTGGCCTTATAGGCCAGGTGAGCTAAAAATGAAAATAAAACTTTGTATAGCGCTTTTCATCAAAAATGATCATAAGGAAAAAAAATTCAAAACCAAGGATGTATAAGTGTTTTCTAACGTCCCACAGAAAACGAATTCAGAAATAAATGTTTTGGCTAACAAACAGTATAGCTTCATGTGACCACATGTATACGCATAGATGCTAGCTAAACAAAAATGTTGCCTGCTGTATGCATAGATATTTTAATGCTAAATTGTCATTGTATTAAGTTAACAGTGATGTAAAAGTAATACTTGAAAAGGTTGTGGATTACACATTTAATGCCCTCATCAATAAAAGTTAAACATTTTGTCAATAGTGGAAAATTTAAAGAAAATTTAAATTCTGATATTATGCACACCTTTTAAATATATACAAACAGTCAGCATAATATACAAGTTCTTGTTTTAAAACAGTAGGAGGAGTCATCAGGACAAACCATAAACCCTGGATGGCTAATATTACCAAAAAAGACAAAGTTCAACAACCTGCCATTTGTAGAAAATCTAACAGAAATCAAAATGCTGATAACTTGCACATCTTAAGTATATGTTCTACTAACACCCCACATAATATAGAAGTTCTAGCTTCACTAACTGTAGAAGTTAGGTGGACAATCTAAGTTCTCTAGGTGGGATGGGCTGATGGACCTAATTACAGGGATTAAACAATTTGCCCACTGACATTTCCTTTCATGGGCTTAAAAGAGAGTAAAACAATGACTGTGGATAACAGATAGCTACTTGACATATGCCACAATAAGAAGCTGAATACAGTAGTTTCATTTTATGAACCATGTAAATGTACAATTTTAACTTAAGCCCCTTTTGCCTTGAAAACACTAAGGGTTATACAAAATGTGCTGCCAATTCACAGAAGCTTTTATTATAGGAAAACTAGGGAAAATCAAAACAAAATTACATTAAAATTCTAAAAACTAATCTACATGTATATACCATGTAAAAGCAGAATAGTAACTTTTATACTGCTAATTACTAAAAAAGACAAAAAGCTACAATAAAACTAATTAAAAAATGCAAGCCGAAGTGATCAGATGTAATTAAAAGAATTAAAATGTTTGTGAGCACTAAAGGATAAAGATTGCTTTAATTCAGGCAATATTTTAATTGGACATATCTTTCTTTGTCTATTATGGTAGCTTTCTAAAACATATAAATGCAAGCACCATACACAACTTATGTAATAATAAAAACCCACACAATTTTCTTGACAAGCATGATTATACACATACAAACTATTTGTAACTTAAATATCTGAGTATACATTATTTATCATTTGCTTGGTATGTGTATGGATATGATCTAAAGAATGATCACCACACTGTTATATGTTATTTGAACACTCAAAAGGTAGAGTTGAGGCTTGGAAGATATAGCTATCAAGTCAGTAACATAAGGGTTTTGATTACGTTTCATACAATCTTTACCCTGAAAAATGCATCACTATGGACTGTAAAATTTAAAACACCAATTGAATTCATGAAGGTAAACCCCACTTGGCCTCATATGGCTCTAAAAGATTAGGAAGTACACCACTTATTCATGGCCCCATTGATTTCTATGTTAAATTCATCAATTTCAAGCAGGTACAGCTCTTTTGTCTAAAGTTCAAATAAAGTGACAATTATTGCATGTTAATGCAACACCTATTGGTGTCTTGTACTGTAAAAATCAACATAATTTTAATTACATATAAAAGAGCTGGTACCAGGAACTTCGGATGTACCAAAACAGGTACTTCAGATCTGACAAACAGGCAAAATGAACACTCCTTTTAAAATTTCATGCAGTTTTTTTATTATTCAAAATTATAAGTCAAAAAATGTTTAACAATGATTACCAGTCATTCAGCTTTCATTTGATATCAAAATTAACAAAAATATTCTACATATTTTGAAAGTAACACCAATGTTTAGGAATGAATTATTTTGTTTAAATATGTACTACTTTCTGGTATGTGCTTTCTGACAGGGCCCGAATTAGTGGTGTTACACCATTAAAGTTGTGTAAAATCTATTGAAATACAAGTGTATTACCAGTAGCTTGTTTCATAAAAACTCACAAAAACTTCTATTAAAATGAGAATGAACTGGAAACAAAAAGCCCTGTGTATCATGTTAAAGTGTGTTTTCCAGTACTTTTGATGTCTTCTAGCTTTTAAATTCTTGGAGCTATCAGAATAGGACTAACAATACAAAAATATATTTCATATTGTCCAGAATGAGCCAATTACATGTATATCTCAGACATTATTGAACCAATGCATGTATGTATACTAAACGAAGTCCCCTATGCATGATATTTTACATTTATTACAAATCCATAACATATTTCATACAGTGAAAACTTTGCCTGCTGGTTTACTTTTATGTGTAATTGTCGAAGTTTACTGAATGTGACCTCAATTAAGAATCAATACAGAATCATATGGAGCACATGAAAAATAAGTAATGCTGAAACATGCAATAGAGTGGTATCTCTTCTGGAGTATTTCACTGTTTTTGGTAAGTTTTCAGTTATTAAATAAGTTTTCTGTATCATTCTGCATTTGCCTTTATATGCATGACGAAAAATATTACTTCAATCACTCAATAACTGATGCGACAAAAGAATTATCATAATGTGTAAATCAATTTTGATTCATAATAAGTAAATTAATTTTGGTTATAGATCTTGGTTGCACACTGATTGAGTAATTCACCATTAAGTGGCAATTTTAACTACATATGTATGTTATTACTGCTCTACATTAAGGATTAGTCAGTAGTAATGTTAGTTCAAACAGAGAAAACTCACAATTTTAAATTTTCACAACTGAGCTTATTAATAAAGTCATTTGCAATCTATAAGTAAGTAAGTAAGTAAATTTATTTAGAGTAGGCACACATGTACAAACAACAATAAACATTACCTTAAGAAAGCTCTTAAAACCGACTATAACTTATATACAAAACATCACAACACAACAAGTTCACATAAGACAGGTACACATAAGCATAAAAATGTAAGCACTTAAAATTTAAAATAAAATGCTCCGCTGGGCGCAGCTTGATACGAACGCAGAGGTCGAACCCTGAACAGTTGGGACAAGTAGGACACAACATTCAAGCTTGATACAGCACTGAATTTGGATTGTGATTAAATATTTGACACAGTATAGGTTTCTGACACAGAATGAATGTGGTCTAAGAATTTTTAATTTACCTATTCAAACCATATCATTATTATTTGCTTTTATGTATAAATCAGAAATAACCAATTTAAAATTGAAAGTTTTAAAGAAAAAAAAAGGAAAAAAAGGGAAAAAAAAATCCCCCCCAAATTTTTTGAACCCCCTTTTGATTCATACCCCCAAACTCAATCCAAGCCTTCCCTTTGTGGTATGGTACCTTGCAGTATAATTTCAGAGAGATCCATACACTTGAACACAAGTTATTGTCTGGAAACTAGAAAAATGCTTGTTTTTTGGCCCCAAATTCATAAACATTTAGGGCAATTACCCCCAAACTCAAACCCAGCTTTCCCTTTGTGATATGGAACATTGTAGTACAATTTCATAAAGATCCATACACTTACACACAAGTTATTGTCCTGAAACTAGAAAAATGCTTGTTTTTTTGCCCCTTTTTGGCCCCTAATTCCTAAAATTTTGAGGCAATTATCTCCAAAATCAATCCCAGCCTTCCCTTTGTCGTATGGTACCTTGCAGTACAATTTTAGAGAGATCCATACACTTGAACACAAGTTATTGTCTGGAAACTAGAAAAATGCTTATTTTTGGCCCCTTTTTGGCCCCTTATTCCTAAGCGTTTTGGGCAATTACCCCCAAACTCAATTCCAGCTTTCCCTTTGTGATATGGAACCTTGTAGTACAATTTCATAAAGATCCATACACTTACACACAAGTTATTGTCATGAAACTATAAAAATGCTTGTTTTTTGGCCCCTAATTCCTAAAATTGGGAGGCAACTACCCCCAAAATCAATCCCAGCATTCCCTTTGTGATATGGAACCTTGTGGTACAATGTCAGAGAGGTATATAATAATGAGCAGTAAATTTCAAACTATATTTATACTTCCCCACAGACCTTATCATCAAAAACACTTAGGAAACAAATATTTTCAAATAAATCTGTCACTCCAATTATAATTTTGTTAGTTGATAATTACCACATGTTTGTTATCTTGATAAAAGGTGGAAATTATTGCATGAATAAAAACAGATACAATCATTGATAGACAATCTATCTACATACTTATTAATTACACCATTTTTGTTTAAAGGGAAATAACTAAAAAATAAAAATAAATCATATAATAAATATCACTTTTCACTACTGAAAGGTCTACCACTCAACAACGAGAAAAGATATTTCGTCAAAGTGTTTTCATGTAAATGAACGGACACTGTTTGGCAGCCGCCCGCCCGCCCGCCGTACATTCCCAAATCAATAACTTATATTTTTCCTTCGAAAACCCGTTAGAAATGATATGCAATACATGGAGAATATCTTATGTGTCAATTTCACTTCAATCAGTTTAGAAGTTCAGGTTGTTTATGCCATAAGTAACAGAAAAGAGAGATCCACCACAAAACAGTAAAAAGTAAAAAGTCACAACTAATTGGTGCAATAATCTGTTCATTGTTCGTTGATTTTCTGCTCCATAATATCTGCTAAGGAATGTGTAATGTCTGAAATATATCATTCACAAATATTATTTATCTCATTTTTTTCTCAATATCTAAATAAAAAATACTGATTTCAATCGTAATTTATTTGTAGAAAATTGATTGGTAAAAGAGCAAATGATAACACATCTTATAGCATGGTTATTTACAAAGGGAAACATATCCAACTATTCCAGTCATCATGTGACTTTTACAATTCAGTTGTATATCATTAATGGCTGAACTTTTTATTAATAAAAATGTAAGGGCTTCATAATTTAAAGGATCATAACTTTTTTTTACATTGTGTACCGCCAAGCCCAAAATTTTTGAGAATTTTCTTATTTACAATTAAATACGTTCTAAATTTCAGTTCAGAAATATGATTTCTTGCTCAAAATCAAGTTTGATTATTGAGGTGCCCTAACCATCAGCCTTTGTTAACTTCTTTGTTTGTAATGGGACCTTCTTAAATATATATATATTTAAGAAGGTCCCATTGTAATTTTATCGAGTTTTAACAAAGAAGTTAACAAAGGGTGATGGTTAGGGCCCCTCAATAATCAATTTTCTCAACTTATTTATTGTAAATAATATCCGTCCAACCCCTAAAAAGGTCGACAATACATTTATTTCAAAGAAATTGAAAACATAATCAGTTTAGGTAACAAACCTTTTGCTTCAAAATTTGATTGAAAAGATCACATTTTGGCATTTGTTGGCAATTTTTTGAAACTGGCGGCTGCGGTCGGAAGTAAACAACGACACGACATGTATTCATATAGTTATTAATTAAAAAGATATATTTGAAATATTTTAAGTATGTCTTATTGTTATTAAGAAATTACTTATTTCACCTTCACTTTAGTATATTTATTAATTTCTCACACACAAAATAAAGATTTATATGCATGGATCATGCACTGTTTACATCGACATCGTAACTCGACTTGTGAAAAGATATTTTGTACGATTTTTACGATGGAAATCAAATAACTGTTACGTTTTCAGTCATTCTATTACCTTAAAGCAGCATAGAATCAAACATTGTTTCTTTTTGAGAAGTGGATACATTTTGCTTGTTTTAATAAAATTTCAAAGTTACGAAAAAAATGGCGACATATTAATTTTCAAAATAAACGATTTTCGACATTAATTTGGTCCATGCAAATAATTCATTTAATTTCAGTGATTATATTGCAATTAAATTGGATACGGCATTGTCTTCTTTCTAATAATACCCTAGTACATAGCTAGATTTAGGAGATATTAAGTCATAACACCCACATGATCAAGTCAAGTTACTGGGTAACCAGTAAATTTTACATAATCCTTATTAAACCAGTAATATGCAGAGTTATCGACCTTAATTATGACTGGAATAGTGGCGTATGAAAATAAGAGGATAGTAAACTTCACATTCATTTAAAAATGTAATATACAATGATGTATTAAAGCATAAATTTTAGATCTTTCTCTTTAGATGAATGCATCATGTAATACTTGCATTTGCACTGACCAGTTAGAACAGTTTGGTTGGATAAAACAAATTGCAACTTGGTCAGAATTTTGAATAAACTGCAATAAGTTGAGAGCAACACTGACAGAAGTCACAGTAATGTATGTAAACTAGAGGCTCTAAAGAGCCTGTGTCCCTCACCTGCATCTTCAATACTAGCCATTTTTTGGTAAAAACCACCATGAAAGGGCAATAACTATAAAAAGAGTTAACTGAAAATTTCAGTAATGTTGCCATATTTGTAAATCTTGTCCTGCTGATCAGTTTTGCTATATAAAGTTTCTATCTATCTATTATGGTTTTCAAAATAAAAGGGAAAAATGCAAAAAATTGGGAAAAAACATCATTAAAGGGCAATTACTTCAATCAGGAGTCCACTGGCGATTTCGTTCATGTTGACTTATTTGTAGATCTTGACTTGTTGATCACTTTGGCTTTAAAAGTTTCTTTTTATCTACTATAGTTTTTAAGATATCAGGCAAAAATGCAAAAAATTGGCAAATTTAAATCATCATTAAAGAGTAATAACTCCAATAACGATTCGTCTGATGATTTCAGCCATGTTAACTTATTTGTAGGTCTTGTCTTGCTTATCATTTTCCCTAATGAAATTTCTCTGTATCTATTATAGTTTTCAAAATAATAGACAGAAATGATTTTTTTATAAATTTGACATTTAAGGGAGCTAACTATAACTCCTATAAGAAGTGGTCTGACAGTTTTGATGTAAATGGACAACAGGAAGATCTCAACATTCTCACCATTTCTGCCCCTGTCAGATTTTCTCTTTTTACAGCGGTTTCAAGATAACAGACAAAACTTGCATTTTTTTTCCTATGTTCTATTTTCAGCAATGTTGGCTATCTAAGTTGGCATCCCACACTTTTTTTTATACTAAATACCCCAATAATGATTTTGGCCTAGTTTGATTAAATTTGGCTCAGTAGTTTCAGAGGAGAAGATTTTTGTAAAAGTTAACGAACAAAGACAACGACAGTTGAGGACGACAACAGACGACAGATGCCAAGTGATGAGAAAAGTTTACTTGGCCTTTTGGCCAGGTGAGCTAAAAAGGAAGACAAGCCACCATTTTGATATCAAATTATGCAAAATTATGTGCGAAGGAGCAAGTTTTTGGTTTGTCTCTGCTTTGAAGGCCTCACTGTGACTTTGAGATGAAGAACAGCAATACAAGGATTATTGTTCCTTTGCTTTTTGTGTTTTTTGCTGTGCATGTATTGGTTTTGTGTTATGGGATGATGCCCCATATCCATTCTTTTCTATTAAAGTTTAAACATTATTCAGATCATTTTTCTGGGAATGGACAATTCATATGTAGTTCTGAAACCATAAATGCTCATAGTCAATTTGTGGTTTAACGATATGTAAGGATTACTACAAGTGGCCATTCAAATTTAATTTTACAACGGCAGCCAACATTTTCAACTCGTTTTAGTGATGACATTCTTAAACTTTACTAATTAAATAATAATTCACCTTCCAAATGTAAGACAAAACAAGTATATGTGTCCATAGGACACCCAAGCCCCTTTTGCACTATTACATCTACAAGTTTAGTGAGCTGTGAAAACTGGGTCAAATACTAATGATGCATATATATCAAACGGTTCACTTTATAGTTAACATATGTACTTAGTTTCAAGTTGATGTGACACCAGACTACCTTTAACAAGTACTTTGACCAGCTGTTACAGAAATGACTCAATAATCATAGGTTGGGCATAAAATGCAAAAAAAAAAAATCTACAGTAAACACAAACTAAAAAGGTCTTGTGAGTGTGCAAAGCCTCCAACTTATTGCAGGTTGACTAAATCAAATCATGATTAAAGACAACCATTCAATTGAGTCTTTCTTTAAATTCAGATATTTTTGTGCTCCATTTACCTAAGATCTGAACAAAAATATGCACACCTTTACTGTAATGCCTTGCATACTAACTAGCCATTTTTTTTATTAATGAAATCAAAAAGTTATAAACAATTTTTTCAAGGAGGAAATAACTTAAAACAACCATACTTACACCTTGACCAAAATGTCTTCTAATTATACTTTTGAGTAATTGTTTCAATAAAAAATACTACAGTATTAGTTAAGTAATTGTTTCAATAAAAAATACTACAGTATTAGTTAAGTATATGCACTACCTACCATCAAAGTAGATAAATTCACAATACTGAGCCTTTTCAGGTGCAGCATTTTTCATCAATTGACTAACAATTCTATAAAATCTTTCTGCTTCTGATGCCATGGTCTCATCATTAACCCCAGCAATACTCCAATCTTTCATTTCTCCTAAGCAAGTCACAGGTGCAGCATACTGCCCAACAAAGTATAATTCCTGCAAAATGAAAAAAAAAACAACATTAGCCATAGCAAGACTACAAATCTATTGCCTCTATCATTATAGTTGACATTTACTAAAAAAAAATATAATACACTTCCAAATGTGTTTGATGTTATCTATTAGCCAATATACAAGGACATAAGTCACTTTTCCCATTTTAAAGAAATAAAAGAATGTTATGACATCATAAAATGTGTGTTGAAAATTATGTCTATTTGATACCTGTCAACCTCAGAAAGTGAAAATGCAGGTCATATTCTGCATTGAAGAAGAAAATTTCAGGTCATAACGTGTACAGACTTTTTTCAGCTGAATTTAAGTTTTTAGTGGACATTTTTTATATTCTATATTCTAGATCAAATAATAGTTTCCAAAACATGTTCACATATGGTTAAGTATTTACTGAAAACAATTTAAAACTTTAATTCTATTTTTTCATTGCATTTATTAATCACTGAAATATTAATTTATTATACTTTATCAATCAAGCCATGCCTCTTATTATTGTTTAAGTCACTCTGTTGTAAATAAACCCTTAACTCATTTGTTTTTATGGTTTGGTATGGCTAAGAAACACTTTAAGTCTTTACTATATACATAATACATCCATCGAGGAAAAATTTATTCCAAATTAGATTTAAATCAGATTTGCTAAATTTGTATTGGGTGTAAATAAAGGTGCTGTAAATAATGCTGTACTTTCTGAATTAGGTTCATTCCCACTTTCATTGTCAGGCCTTAAAATACAATTAATTTTTTTTTTCATATTATAAATATGAATAGTAATAGTATGGTAAAGAAAGCATACATTGAAAACTTAAACCTGTCTAATGGTTTCTGTAGTAAAATAAAATGTTATCAGATTTTCAGCATGTTTGGGAAAATAAAAAATACAGTGACCAAATTACTTTTTTCATTTGAAAAGAAATAAGAAGAGGAATTCATAAAATCCTGGAAACAAGCTTTTGTGACTCTAATAAAGTTAGTCATGGTAATAAACTATGAACACATCGCAAAGTTAAAAATTATTTCGAATTAGAAAAACATCTCATACTGGACCTTAGCAAAAGTGTGATTTCTAAAATGGTATAAATTAGAATTAGTAATAGCAAATTATTAATAGAAAGTTGGGAGATGTACTAGAATGGCTTTAGAACAGAAATTGTCCACTTTTGCAAGGATGGAATTGAAGATGAATGTAAAGAGTTAGAATTTAATAGAAATACTCTCTTTAGTAATTTAAGTGATGTTGTTTCATCTTTTGTTAATATGTCTGAACAAGATAAATTTAGTTTCATTTTAAAAAGTAATGATACTGACATTTGTACTGTATGTGTAGTTGGAATAAGCTATGTGTATGATACATAAGGAAGCAACTATAGAAAAATCTCGGGTGAGCCCTTAAATTCATGGGTGTGACCCTCAAAGTCTGGGTCAGTTGACAGGTATGCTATCTATTTTTTTTTTTCAAATCCCTGTATTCATTTCTATGTTCTACACATTTTTAAAGTTATACATGAAACCTCATATTTCAAGAGAAGGTCCTAATGCCTCCAATCTTTTGCAAAAAAACATCATCAGATATCATCATATGAACAGATCTATTTTCATGTGTCATTATCTTGTCTAACAATCTCCATTTGCAAGACACTAAAACATTCATACTTTTCAAAAAAGGCACAGGCTGGTTTTAACTACATTAAACTACTGTAAACCAACTTATTTTCGTGAGTGATTTATTTTCACAACTTTTGCAAGAAGAAAAATACCGCAAATATAATTCTCGCGAAAAGGTAACACTTGGATCTATCCCTATTTAACTACTTCAAGTTAATTTGAAAATCGCGATATTAAATCGCCGCTAAGTGGACTATAAAGGGCTAAACGAAAATAAGTTGGTTAACACTGTATACCTTTTTCATAAAAAAACTGCTTGATGACACTTTGTAAATGTTACAGAGAACTGATCTGTTGTTTCCAAATGGATGTACAGCTGCAGTTTTTGTGAAATTGGCAATCCTTCCATTTTTGTCCTTCAAGGCGTCACCAGCATTACAACATTTAGGAATGACTATGTACAGCTTGTGTGGACATTTGAAGTCCTTAGTCCCTTTTCTCTCAAATGCAGGACTGATTTCATTTAAAACGTCTAGCATAAAGTTAGATAAACATATTGTTAATATTTTCCACAAAAAAAAAACATAGGCTCTAATAATACTGTAATGATTACCTGATTTTTAAAAGGCCTGTAATGGTCACCTGATATTTAAAAGGCATGTAATGGTCACCTGATATTTAAAAGGCCTGTAATGGTCACCTGATATTTAAAAGGCCTGTAATAGTCACCTGATATCTAAAAGGCCTGTAATGGTCACCTGATATTTAAAAGACCTCTAATGGTCACCTGATATCTAAAAGGCCTGTAATGGTCACCTGATATTTTAAAGGCTGTAATGGTCATCTGATTTTTAAAAGATCTGTAATGGTCACCTGATATCTAAAAGGCCTGTAATGGTCACCTGATATTTAAAAGGCCTGTAATGGTCACCTGATGTTTAAAAGTCCTGTAATGGTCACCTGATATTTAAAAGGCCTGTAATGGTCACCTGATATTTAAAAGGCCTGTGATGGTCACCTGATATTTAAAAGGCCTGTAATGATCACCTGATATTTAAAAGATCTGTAATGGTTACCTGATATTTAATAAGTCAGTAATGGTCACCTGATATATATCAAAATATTGACAATTACTGTAATTAGATTGTAAACAGTGCAAGGGAACCCTTTTTCAAAGCAGTCACTTATTAACCAAGTGTATTCAGAGGAGAATATCTTTACAAAGCTTACATACAAAAAGGACATACTTCATTAGACATAAAATGATGGTAAATGCAGGTAGAGAAGTTTTCATAGTTATCTTTTAAAATGTAATACTTTTACAATGAACAAACTTTATTTGAGTCAATGGTATTTGTCTACTTGTACAACATATATGGTCTTGTATACAGTGTTTTTCTATTTTTTTACTTTACTATTATTATTTTGTTTATGTATTGCAATTGTCTATTAAAACTGTGCTTGCTTGTATGTAAATGTAGCAGGCCAGGTGCGGATTAACTGTTTTGTAAACTGTTTAACCTTCTGAAAATAATGAATTTTATTATTATCATTATCATAATCCTTTACACTGGCCTTATGGGCCATGTGTGATTGTATCTTTAATATACAATGAGCATGTATATCAAGAGTGCACACACTTAAATGTCTCGCCTTATCATTTAATTTATGTTGAAAGTCTGTATTATGAAGGTTTTACTTAAGTATCATACACTTAACATTGACCAATGAAACATGAAAATGAGGTCAAGGTCAGATGATACCAGCTAGACCAACATGTACACCTTAGAATCATTCCACACACCAAATATAGTTGACCTATTGCTTATACTTGAAAAAAAGAACCAAAACACAGAAAACTTAACATTGACCAATAAACCATGTAAATGAGCTCATGATCAGATCAAACCTGCAAGACTGACATGTACCCCATACAATCATTCCATACACCACATATAGTTGACCTATCTGAGAAACAGACCCAATCATGTAACTTTAACCTTGATCACTGATCCATGAAATGAAGCCAAGGTCAGGTGATTCTTGTCTGACCTTGTAGACCTTGCAAGGAACCCAGATACAAAATATAGTTATCCTATTACTCATAATAAGTAAGAAATACACAAGACAAAAATCGAGAATTTTTTTTCAAGCAGTCACTGAACCATGAGAATGAGGTCAAGGACAATGGACATATGACAGACGGAAACTTTTTAACATAAGGGTTCTGCATTCTAAGTATGAAGGATCCAGGTCTTCTACCTTCTGAAATATACAAATAGTTTAGGCCGCTGCAGCCAGATAGTAATCCCTATGTCTTGCATACTGCCACTTTCCTCACAGGCGAGACAAAATCTAGCATTGACAAATGAACCATGAAAATGAGGTCAAGGTTAGGGGATACCGGCTTGACCGACATGTATTCCTTACAATCATTCCATACACCAAATACAGTTGAACTATTGCTTATAGTAATTGAAAAGCAGACCATAACTCAAAAACTTACCATTGACCAATGAACCATGAAAATGAGGTCAAACCTGCAAGACTGACATGAACCCCTTACAAACATTACATACACCACATATAATTGACCTACTGCTTATAGTATCTGAGAAACAGACCTAATCAGGTAACTTTAACCTTGATCATTGATCCATGAAATAAGGCCAAGGTCAGGTGAACCCTGTCTTACCAAGTAGGCCTTGCAAGGAACCCAGATACAGAATATAGTTATCATTTTACTTGAAATACGTGAGAAATTCACATAACAAAAAACAAGCAGTCGCTGAACCATGAAAAATGGGGTCAAGGACAATGGACATATGACAGACGGAGACTTAGTAACATATTAAAGTATCTGCATACACGCTATGAAGCATCCTGATCTTCTACCTTCTGAAATATAAAGCTTTATACAAATAGTTTACATTGCTGCCGCTGCCACCGGATAGTAATACCTATTGAATGCATACTACGATTTTTGTCTCAGGTGTCTTTTATAACGGGACTTTTCTTCTGTTAGTTTGCTTACGTTTTAACAATATAGAAATAATGATGGATGCCAATTCACAGCAATGTTATGATACTAGTTAAAGTATGCAACTTCATGCTCAAAGTATTGTGCAAATTCTAAAAGTAAGCCATTAGAAATGTTAACAAAATGATTCTCAAGAAACATTTAGATGGATGTGTTAAAGGCCTTATTTATAACAAATAACCTTCAGTTTGGTACAAAAACTACTGTATGACTAGCAAACACATACCTGGTAATATCTTCATCAGATAGTTTGTGACATATCCCCAAGCTAGACCATTGGCCACATCACCTGCTGGCAGTATCATCTGGGTTTCCATTGGAGTATCCCTTCCTAATTGAAAATCCATGTTATAATTTATTTCTAATGTGAACTTTATGAAGGCATATGTTTATTGTTTTTATAAAGGAAAGCTTCATTAGGGGTTAAAGATATCTGCAGAAACAGCATTAAATTTTCAGCATCCCTTTTAAAATTTTGAGTGCTTTGTTACATGTGTGAATTTCTTTACAAAATACTCAATACTATATCTAACTGTTCAAATTTAAAGAATACTTTCCATTGACATAATTTTAATTTAATTCTTTTTTTTACCACCATATTTGCTTTTCTCATTTGACTGTCGAATAAATCAATTTTCAACATGCGGTACAAAAAATTTACAAGCACGTTTGGTAAAAATCCTTACTAGATCAAACTGATCAATTATAATATTCTTAAATGAATAAAAATTGTTTTAGTCTAGGAGTCAGTGTAATAAGATGAATTTAGTTGCGTTAGGAATGAATTTGTGTATAATCATTTCCAATTTAACAAATTTGATAATGTTCAAATTGACGTATGACAAAAATGTTTTGTAAAGATACATATTAATGGTGTTGATGCAGGTTTAGGGGACCTAACTGTTCATGCTACAATGAATGTTCAGTTCACTGTCCTGTTGTAGCTAGTTTTGTATATAATGACATCCTTATACAGAACTTTTAAAGCAAAAAAAAATGGGTAAGCTTGGTCTTTCAAAGACAATAACTCCTATAAGGAGTGAACTGACGACTTTATGCCATGTGAATTATTTGTAGATCATATCTTGCTAATAATTTTTGCTATTTTAAGTTTTTCTATTGAATAAAATGTTAAATCACTATGTTCTGTGGCAGGGGACAATAAACCATGTCATGTATTGATGTGAATAATTGAATATAAACATACCACTAACAATACTGTATAAACTCTTCAAATGCTTTCTTTTTTGGTCATCAAATGGAATGTATGTGATCCATCTCAGTGCTTCTGGAATGTGCAAGTCATCACATTGATCCACAACAGGTATTACTCGAACTTTTTTATTATATATACTGTCACCCAGTGCTGATAAAACATTAAAGTTCAAGGACTCATCTTTCAGAGCATGTTTTGTTAAAAGAAAAATAAACCATCTACATTGTTTTGAGGCTGAGACCAGTCTATCCGCAAAATTAGAACCACCTGAAAGTATCAATATATCACTATCAGCTACACCATTTTCCGTAAGATAGTCTATTATCTCGTTTGCCCTTTTTTCATCTTCAGGGTGGTCGGAACAAGCAACAAATACTTCATAAGCATATACGTTTTCTTCTACGGACTCCAACTTGTCAACCTTAGGACGAAGTAAACCTTCCTGGAAAGAAAAATACAATGACTTTCAAAAGTTCCATATCTGAGTTTTATCAACATAAGTGTGTTTTGGGTACCTTTAGAGTAATATGCTTGATGCATCTGACGTCTGTATTGATAAATAAGTATGTCAAATTTCATATAATTCCGAAGTAAAATGTATGCAATTTTTGTACAACTACACCTGGTATCAAGTGTTTTTGTAAAACCTGGTTCCATTCAGTGTTAAATGTAAGAGACTTTTCATTGACCATGTTGACAAACTTCTTAAATGGTGAATAGTCAATCCTCATGTTTTGCTATGGCACAGCATAGTTTGGTTTGAATGAGATAGAAGTTTCAGATAAAAAAGATCTTTAAATTAAAAGCGATTAACTAGATGAAAGACGCCAAGTGATGGCAATGTCTCATATGAGCCTTTTTCTTTTAGTCTCAAATTTTACCTTTGTAGTTTTGAAAACAATAAAGATGATCAATGACAGGTAAATAACTTTTTATGGAAGGGAGTAAGCAAATCAAACAACCTTTCTCAATCTGAGTTGTTTATATAACCCCAAAAATAAGCTTGTGTGCATTAGCTTTGGGATCAGCTTGTGTGAAGTTACTGTTTTACACCATCTGAAAAGACTGTTGACTGAGATGAAAGTCATATTAAAAATTGCTGAAAATGGTTGATTCATATTGATTGTACTAACTTCTGTAATATATGTTTTCATCATAATAACTGATAACTTCTAATAAAATCGTAATCAACATCAATGCTATATACACCATAATTATCCCTATTCCAAAGTAAACAGGGTTTAACTCTTGAAAGCATAAACTAGGGTTTAGGGTGGGTGAGTTCCATCAATTGTCTTGATAAATACTAATGATGGTTGTGTGAATCATAAGAATATTATATATATACTGGTAAATCCATTTAATCTGAAATTGAGAAAAATAAAATATGATGTTTGCACATGTTTTTTCAACAGTCACCTATCCTGTCTCAATAACTGATGTTGTAGTACTCTAAAGTATGCATAAAAGCTATATAAAGTGTTCTTCAAAACCATGCTTGCTCAGGTTACTTTCTAGTGACTTAATCAAAAATACCTTGAGTTTCTTTTCTGGAGAAATCGCATCTTTTAAGTCTTCTTTTACAGCCTCCACCAAAACCTCTGAAATGTCCTTCTTTTCATCTGCAGTTACAAAAAGTAGGAGATAAGATTTGCCATATGGGTAAAGAATGATTTTGATCATAAGTGGAAAATAAACTAAATTTTAGCAAAACCCTTCTTTCAATTGATTATTTTTACACTGGTCAATAAGGAACATTAGTTAGTTGCAATATATATGACTTGTAACCTGAAACATTAAATGTAAAAAAAATTCTAAATATGTCGAGAAGTGCGGTACATATCTTCAAATCAGGAATATGACAGTTGTTATCCATTCGTTTGATTTGTTTGAGCTTTTGATCTTGCCATTTGATTAGGGGCTTTCCTTTTTGAATTTTCCTCGGAGTTCAGAATTTTTATGATTTTACTTTTTTCAATGAATATAAAAAAATTCTAAAATGTTAAATGCTTTTGGGTTAAAACATATGCAGTAATTGTTTACAACCTCTATCAATAAATTTTGTTGAAAATTGACTTAGTGTTATCAGATGCATAATCTCCAAATTTTGTACATAAAGTGAGGTGCATAATCTTTAATAATTTATATAAAATACATATACAAACAAACTATTTTTTCGTAAAATAATAAAGAATTTTCTCAATTTACTGCCGAAATTTACCCAAAGGAACTTACTTTAAATAAATCAAATTTAAACGGTAACAACTGTCCTTTCCTAGATTTAGATATTTCGGTTTGACACGGGAAACTCAACACTAAAATTTACGACAAAATGGACGATGTTTCGTTCCCTATTGTTAATTTTCCCTTTTTGGATGGTGATGTTCCTTTGGCACCATCTTACGGTGTTTATATTTCACAACTCGTTCGCTATGCCCGTGTCTGTTGTGACGTTTTTGATTTTAACGAACGTAATCTATGTATTACTGGTAAATTATTAAGCCAGGGATTTCGTTACCACAAATTACTTAAAACCTTAAGTAAATTCTTCCACAGATATAAAGATTTGGTTTTGAAGTTTGGTTGTACCTGTAGAAAACGTATTTCAAACGGGATTGCACATCCTCATTTTTTTGGCAATATTGTTTACCGTGCCCGGAAATTTAGAAACGATCCTGGTAAACTTATCGATCCTTTAAATAAACTTATTCTAAAAGGTTATCAATTCAACACTGTAATTAGATCATAAAATATTGTTTTTAATGGTACTAATATTGATTTTGTTATCAGTAAATTGTAAGCAAACTTAATATTATTGTTATATACATATACACATTCATGGATCTACAATCTGTCGATACCTGTATCTTGGCATTGCACAAAGTCATATTTTTCTCTGACTGTTTATGACGTCTTTACACTAAATCCATTGGATGTTGGATGTGTACGGATTGATAATTTAGTCTTAGATGCATGATTTTTTTTATTAGTTGTTAGTGGCTTTGAACTAGCTGTCAGTAACTGCGAGTACTCTCAGATCTGTACTTAGTGTCTTTTTGTTGTTAGGATGTACAAGTACCCGGCCACGTCCACTTGTATTTGAAGTATTTGTATTTTTATCGATCTGATGAGGTAAGCCTCTTACAACTGGTTTTCATAGTTCGTTCTTATGTTGTACTGTTACACCACTGTCCCAGGTTAGGGAGGGGGGTTGGGATCCCGCTAACATGTTTAACCCCGCCACATTCTGTATGTATGTGCCTGTCCCAAGTCAGGAGCCTGTAATTCAGTGGTTGTCGCTTGTTTATGTGTTACATATTTGTTATTCGTTCATTTTTTGTACATAAATTAGGCCGTTAGTTTTCTCGTTTGAATTGTTTTACATTGTCATTTCGGGGCCTTTTATAGCTGACTGTGCGGTATGGGCTTTGCTCATTGTTGAAGGCTGTACGGTGACCTATAATTGTTAATTTCTGTGTCATTTGGTCTCTTGTGGAGAGTTGTCTCATTGGCAATCATACCACATCTTCTTTTTTATAGAACATTTCATGATTCTAAACGTGGGTTCACAAAATAGGTACCCTCTTCTACCTGCTGCATGTCATTTACTTTACTCTTGTCAATATTACTTTGCACTTAAATTAGACTAAAACAGCCAATTATTCATTTTTATGACATTTAGGTATGCATCATTTGAAAATTGAATATGACTTGTGTATATTGTGTTGCAAAATCATGAATACAAACAGAGAACAATTTAAAAAGAATTAAATAATCGTTTCAGTATAATGCTTTTAAATTCACATTAATCAAAAAAATCATTTCATTGTGCCTGAAATCCAGAACTAAGCAATTGCACTAGAATATTATACATTGTAAACTATGTTGTTTGAATTTAACACTGATTCATGAATATGACTTTAAATGTATTTCCAATCGCATCAAAAATATAACCATATAGTTTTGCTGTATCATTTAACAAGCTCCATATATTATAACAAATAATTTATCTTCGACCTAAATGGCACCTTAAGGTCATCTTAAAAAAAAACAAAATGAATGCTGTATGCTGCAAATTTTGAAAATTAAAATGGTAATACTTTAAAAGTTACATGTACACCACTCAAAACTTTCAAAGTCAATAAAATATGACAGAGGGTGCATAGTAAATAAATCTCCAAATAAATGAGATATGTCAGTGCTAAAACACCTGCATATCAAATATCATTGACTTACCAAAAGGAAGTTTCTTTACTCTGACAGGTAAACAATGCATAAGTTTCAAAGACAATGAATCATGCACAATGGTTGTGCGACCAAATCAACACTATGGAAATGATATGTGCCAATGCTAGTACTACTCAATACTAAATATCATTGACTTACCATATGTGATTCCTCTGAAACTGCCCTAATTACCTTAAACTTTAGCTAATTGTAGAGACCACCGTCATCAGAAACAGCATGCCTTTAACTCGCCTTGGCAACTTTGTCAAGGCGAGACAAAAAGGCAAAACGTAAACAGTAACTTAGAAATTGTGCTCATGTCTGAGTAATTACTAATTTGGAAGCACTCCTTTTGTACATAAATGTGTACATACCATTATACAGCAAAACTCTTGCAGTGTTGAAACATTTTTCAAAATGATTAAGAGTAGAATTCATAGTGTAGTAAAATCTGCCTAACTGTAACTTCTTGTCATCAGTTGTAAATTGAGCAGCAGTTGTAAAACCTCCTTCTTTTCCAACTTTGCCTGGGTATGTATGAGAGAATCTGGCCAAATGATTGTCCTCCATTACTTTCATTGTACCAATTACATTAGGAAACTCGCACATACAGTAAAAAGTCTAAAAATATTTATATCACTGTTTATTCTGAATAAAAGGAGATATCAGGTCTACATCAATGATACAGCAACCAATACCCATAACAACCACCCAGAAGACATCTAGAGTTCAACACCTGGTCCAACAGTACACAAATGTCAATTCAATATGTACATTTCTGTATTATAATATTTAAATAGTTTAATGATACTAAATGTTAATGTGCTTGGTAAAAGCCAAGAAACTTCTATGTGGTTGTGTTAATTTATATTTGAGTTATTTTTTTTGTTCTTTGAAAATTTGGCACTGATTGCAAATGTTTGGTAGTTTGTGTAAAATTCTTTTTAAATTTGTAAAGAATGTGGATGATTTAGAGCTTTAAACATTGTAAAACACTTGACTAGATCTGTTGTTGAAATGAAAATTTGTAATTAATTACTGGATTAAATTTTTGTTGTGATTCATCAATTCTTACCTCTTGGCCAATGGTAATACTGTACATTGTTACCGATATCTCTCTGTGATTTCCACTTCTCATCACTGCCTTAATATTGAATGTTTTCACTGCTTTGATGTTGTTATCTTCGTTTGGTATATTATATTTAACAGTGCATGTTCTTGGAACTAATTCATACAACTTAAAGGACACTTTGTTTCTAACTTCATCAGTCAGACTAATGTACCAATCAGACTCTTGCACTGTTTTTTCCAGTACTGAAAAAAAAAAACGAAATGATCAAAAAAGAGATAATTGTTATTCCACTTACAAACTATATCAAGCTGATATTAAACAAGCATAAAATGATACATTGCAATCTCGGTTTTAATTTATGTCCATACAAGTTGACTAATGTATTATGGTAACAGAATAGGATGAGACTATTTCCACATGGTTCGATGGGGAACTTTGTGTTGCTAGATGACAATATGATTTTTCATAGTTATAAATCATTCTATACAAAAAAATGCAGTTGGTCAACTCTGAAAAACAAACCTATCCATTAAAGCTTAATATTGACCAATGAACCTTGAAATAAGCTATTTCAATGTCTTTAACCAGAAAAGATCGTCAACTACGCACGCCCTTAAGAACTCCAAAGAAGGGGATAAACTTTTCTTTCTTTTCCATTATTTCTATTACAAGAGGCTCCTAAAAAAGCCTGTGACGCTCACCTGGCAAAGATATGCAATCTTGATACTAATTATTAGCTTTATATTTCAATCAGTTATTTTATTTTCATAGATTTTGTATTGTTGATCATTTTTTCAGTGCACAATTTATATCTATCTTTTATACAAAAACACAAAAGTCATCATTTAAGGGCAATAAATCCTTAATGAGTCATCTGATAACTTTGGGGCAAACAGGAAGTAAATTGATCTTGGCATTCTGAGCAATTTTGCCCTGTCAAATTTTTTTCTGTCTATTTTTTAATGATGGAAGAATGTCATTCATTTATTAGACTTTTCGTTTGAATGAAGAAGATTATATGTTTTATCATATTTTTGCGACTGTTTTTGACAAATACAGAATATTTTTCGTTTTATGCAACCTTTCCAACTTTGCTATATAAGGGGAGATAACTCAGGTAATGTTACTTTTGTACTGGAACGTGTTATTGATTTAACTATTTAGTTTTATAGCAAGAAAACAATTCCCTTGACCCTATTTCATTTTTTATATTTTGAAATCCAATTATAAGAGCTATCTTCTCATACTTTATCTTAAAATACTATGGTTTAGTTTTGTTTTAAATCACACAAATATGTTTTTTTCCATAAATCTGACAATTTTGAACGACATGTAGCTTGGAAAAAAGCCTTCTGAGCTATACTTTTTGTTATATATTTGAGTAGGCCACGATATAAACTACATTTTGGCAAATCATCAAAAAAAAATCTATGGATAATAATTTAGACACCACATCTAACTTATCGGTTTCTACCTACCTAATATAGCTTTTGGGTTAAAATGGCCAAAAACAAGAAAATTAGCTAAAAACGTCTTTAAAGGCTAATAACTCATTTAATAATTTTGGGGCAAACAGGAAGTAGGTCAAGATCTTGACGTTTTGAGCAATTTTATGCTCAAGTGTTAGATTTTCTGTATCTGTTTTCAAGATATAGGACAATTAATACATTTTACCGTTATGTTCTATTTTTAACCAATTTTCGTGACGAACAAGAATAAAAAAAATAAAATTTTCATACAAAATACCCTTAGGATCATTCAGCCAAATTTGGTTGAAATTGGTCCTTTAGTTACAGAGGAATTTTTTTCCTAAGTTTAGATGATGGAAGCTAAGTGATGGCGATACCTCTCAAGGACATTATTGGTCCAGGTAAGCTAAAAATTAAAAACCACAAAGTTTTTTTTTAAATCAAAAAATCTATTATAAACGCTCATGATAAAAAAAATCATTCATAGTCTTACCAGGTAAGACATACTGTAGAAATCCAGCATAATGGGACCAGACTAATCCATGAGCAACATTTCCAGCAGGCATAATGTCACCAATTGTCTTCGTTTCTGCAAAAATCAAGAATATTGAGGTTGTCAAAGTAAAAAAGAACTCCCTTTAGTTCTTTTCATTTTTTTTACCAAACTACTGTCTTTTCTCTGCAGCTTTTTTCAAATTAAAATCCTATGCAAATAGCTGATCATTTGAGGCCTTGATATAAAAAAATGAAATTGACTTTCAAGAATATATGTTGAGGTTTGTAAATTTTTGACTTAAATCCGAAGTTGTTCAAACATTAACTTTATGATTATAATATGAACAGGAGGAACAAGTTCTTATACACAATATGTAATTTAGATACATAGATTCCTATGTTACTGTATACAAATGTCAATAATGTATCTTAAGTTCTTATTCTGAAATAGACCCAATAAAAAAAACTAAACATTAGTTCACATGTCAGGAAAAGTAATACCAATGTTTTTCTTCCTAAAATCGGTTGCAGGCCAGACAAGAACAAGAAGTCCATTAAAGCAAGGTACAGCAAATAAACAGAATACATAAATTTGTTATTTTTCAGTTCATCTACATAACTTTGTTCAGTGGTAAATATTGAAACAAAATGCTCATAATTGGATCAAGAACATATTGGCATCTACAAAGTCTTGAGTTCTACTAAATTGTGTTTTGTGTACTATTGTTTGTCTTTTGGTCGTTTTTTTTTGTTTTGCCAGTCCATTGTCAGTTTGTTTTAAAAAAAGAGTTTATATGTCCCTTTAGTAGCTTTAGCCTCTCTTTAACACCGAAACTTAATTCAAAGGATGAAATTATTTTGCAAGCAGATGATCTTTATCTTATCTCAGAAACAACACTGATCATCATAAATTCCATATTGCAACAGTCAGTGTAATACACAAACCTCTTAAAGCTTCAACTACCTCTCTCACCCAATCCTCATTGTCTTCATCAAAGTGTATTTTTTTAGTTTCTTGAAGAACTGCAAGATGTGGAAGCTAAAAATAATTTATTTAAAGAATGTAATTTACCAAAATTACAGACAAAGCGTATAACAAGAGTTCACACGTCTGCTTTACTGACCATAATTGATTTTATTTTGAAAGTCTTAAGAGTAAAGGTGCTTTCAAAGGTTTTACAACAAATATCACATAAACCTAACATTATCAATGATCAATGACAATGCAATCAAGCTTTAAGGTCAGGTAAACCATGACGGACAGACATATACACCATATAATCATTCCATACCCGATGAAAACTTAACATTGACCAATGAACCATGAAAATAAGGTCAAGGTCAGATGAGCCTGCTATTCAGACATGTTCACCTTACAATCATTCCATACACAAAATATAGTTGACCTATTGTTTACAGAAAGAGACCAAACCATGAAAACTTAAACATGACCAATGAGCCATGAAATTGAGGTCAAGGTCAGAAGAACTTATCAGACAGACATGTACACTTTACAATCATTCTGTTCAACAAATATAGCTGACCTATTGCTTATAGTATCTGAGAAATAGACTTAACCAGGAAAACAAAAAACTGAGGTCAAGGACAGATGACTCCTGCCAAACAGACATGTACAGTGTACAATCATTCCATACACCAAATATAGGTTGCACTTTATAAATACAGCTGTTTTAAAAACCACGCCTCTTTTGGGGAGATATATAATATTCATAGATATTTTGTTTTGGTAACGTTCTGGTTCCCAGAAATGATCCCTATGTTTCATCTCATATAGACATAACTTGGGAATGTTACTAGTATAAAAACACATGGTATTGGCGAAAATTGAATTCCGAGGAAAGTGAAGGGAGGAGTAGTACAGAAATTTAGTATCAGTTTAAAATCTTAGAAGTTTGGGGCATATAAATGTTGAAAATATGCCGCACAGCCCTATGTTTTGACCTTTGAATAAAATAGTAATGCATATCAACTTTCATTCTAGGATATAATTTTTACAAAACCTCATAGTAAAAGTGGCACAGCTTAAGCCGTAAAGGGAATTCCTATGGAAAATTGCATTGTCTATATTTACAGAAGTGCAACCTATAGTTGACCTATTGCTTATAGCATTTGAAAAAACAAAACCAAAACACAAAACTTAACATTGATTAATGAAACATATAAATGAGGTTAAGATCGGATCAAACCTGCCAGACTGACATGTACATTTTACAATCATTCCATACACCAAAATAAAGTTGACCTTCTGCTGAAAATAGGACTTAATCACATAACTGTAACATTGATTACTGATCCAGGAAATGAAGACTTTGTCAGGTGAACCATGTCTGATGGACAAGTTGGCCTTGCTAGGAACTCATATACCTAATATAGATATCCTATTACTCATAATAAGTGAAAAATTCACATGTTGAATAAATGGAGAATGTATCCATGCAACATAGATGATTCCCCCGCTTGCATATAACCTTGTGATGGGACATTACTCAAGAATGGTAAAAGTGACGCTACCCAAATTGGTACTGGAACTGGGTTTTATTGTAATCAACATTGTGTATAAGTTTCATAACATTTGGTTGAGGCAAACTTAAGTTAGAGAACAAAAACGAATAAAATGCTTCGCCGACGGAAGCCTGATACGACCGCAGAGGTCAAACCCTGAACTGTTGGGGCAAGTTTGAACACAATATTCAAGCTTGATACTGTCTGAATTTGGATTGTGATCAAATTTTTGACATAATATAGTTTTCTGACACAAAATAAATGTGGTCAAAGATCTTAGAAATTAGAAATAGGACATTTAATTTACCTAGTATGGTCTGATATCCAAAATTTAACAACATGGTTAGATTCAGCATTAAAAAAAAACACTAAAAATTTTATTTTAGTTGAAATCGAACAAAGTTTAATTTGGGACCCTTCAAACCCTAATATGGACGTATTTGAAAACAGAGCCCAAAAATAAAAAATCTAAATGCACAATAACATTCAGCATATCATATAGCCGCAATTATTCAGTTTTGATGAAATCAAACAAAGTTTAATTTTGGACCCTTTTGACCTCAATGTAGACCAATTTAAAAATGGGGTCCAATATCAAAAATAGTAATAAAAGGTTAGAACCCCCAAAAATTAAAGACATTAAATTAATCGCATTGAAATTGGTTAAAAGGTTTGTATTTATTTTCAATTGAAGATTTCTTGCTATTGCGAAATACTGAGCTATTGCGCAATACTGTGCTGTTGCGTTGCACAATGCTTAGTTAATCTATTATATATAATAATTTACACACTGTTTGGTGTGTATCTCCTGCCATATCAGTATTTGTTGCTTTTATATATAAATCAGAAATAATCAATATGATAAACTGTTATCACAGAGATATGTCTCGCCTTTTTGTAATTTTGATTATGCAAATGTTGAAATTAAAATAGCAATACTTTAACATCTTACATAAGTTATGCAATTATTCAAAGTCAATGAACCATGACTGAGGTACATGGCTAAACAATCTCCATGTAAATGAGATGTGCCAACGCTAATACAACTGCATACCAAATACCATTGACTTATTATAATTCGTTCCCTTTAAACAAACCTAAACACAAACATTAACTTGTAAACTATGTAAAAGTTTCAAAGTCAATGAACCATGAAGAGGAGGTGGGGCTATATAATCTCATGGAAACGATACTTGCAAATGCCAATAAATTTGCATACCAAATATCATTGACTTAACATTAGCAGTTCATCTTAAACTGATCTAATCTCAAACTAATACATGTCAACTAAGCAAAAGTTTCAAAGTCGATAAACCATGACTGAGGGGGTGGGGCCAAATAATCTCCATAGAAATGCTTATACAACTGAATACACATTAGCATTGGCCTACCACTAAAAGTTCCCATTGAACTGACCTAATCACAAACTAATACATGTTAACTTATCAAAATTTTCAAAGTCAATATACCATGACTGAGGAGGCGTGCCCAAATAATCTCCATGGAAATGAGATATGCCAATGCTTATACAACTGCATACCAAATATCATTGACCTACCACTAGTGGTTCCCCATAAACTGACCTAATCACAAACTAATACATGTAAAATAAGCAAAAGTTTCAAAGTCAATAGACCATAACTGAGGGGGCAGGGCCAAATAATCTCCATGGAAATGAGATGTGCCAATGCTTATACAACTGCATACCAAATATGATTGACCTACCACTTGTGGTTCACCATAAACTAGACCTAATCACAAACTGATACATTGTTGACGCCGCCGTCGCAGCCAACGCCGGAAACAGCATACCTATGTCTCGCTTTTTGACAAAAATGGAAATTTTTTGGGAAAAAAAAAAATTCTGAAAAAAAAATCCCCCCAAAAAATTTTTTTGGAAAATCTTGAAGAAAAAAAGTATGATCCCCCCCAAAAAAGAATTGAAAAAAAAAATCCCCCAAAAAACTTTTTTTTTTAAATTGGAATTTTTAAAAATTTTGAAGAAAAAAAATATGAACCCCCCAAAAAAATTTGAAAACCCTCAAAACTTTTTGAACCGCCCCAAATATTTTTTTTGAAATTTTGAAGATTATTTTCTTTTCAGGAAAAAAGTACATTTTCAGAGAGTTCCATAAACTTTAACACAATTATTGTCTGGAAACTAAAAAAATACTTGTTTTTGTCCCCTTTTTTGCCCCTTTTCCAAAACGTTTGAGGCAATTACCCCCAAACTCAATCCCAGCCTTCCCTTTGTGATATGAAACCTTGTGGTACAATTTCAGAGAGATCCATACACTTACACACAAGTTATTGTCGGGAAAATAGAAAAATGCTTGTTTTTGGCCCCTAATTCCTAAACTGTTGGTACCATTACCTCAAAATTAATCCCAACCTTATTATTGAACCTTCTTGTAAAATTTCATAGCGATCCATGCACTTAAACTAAAGTTATTGTCCAGAAACCAAATGTGTTTTATGGTAATAAGCATTGTGTATAAGGTTCATAATGTTTGGTGGAGGGAAACTAAATTTAGAGAACAGAAACGAAAAATTCAGCAATTTTTCTACTTGTAAAGGGCATAACTCTAGAATGGTAAAAGTGACGCCACCAAAATTCGAACCTAATCTGTGTTTTGTTGTTATAAGAATTGTGTTTATTTAGTTTCATAACATTTGGTCAATGCAAATTAAAGTTAGAGAATGTAAACCAATTTCAGGACTTACGTACGTACGGACGGGCAGACGGAAAAGGGTAAAACTTTATGACCCCTTCGCTACGGCGGGGGCATAAAAAAACTTAACATTTTTTAATCAGTCCCTGAACCATGAAAATGAGGACATATTGCAGAAAAAACTTAGTAAGATAAGGCATTTGTATACTAGGTATGAAGCATCCAGGTCTTTTACCTTCTTAATTAAAAGTTTTACATAAATTATTTACACCTAGGCCACTTGATAGAAATCTATATGTCTTGCATTCAGCTATTTTCATCTGGCAAATATATACATCCTGATAACTCGAGAGAAGAAATCTACTGACAAATTGAGCTATATAGATTACTTAGTTTTTCCATTGGTCAGGATTCACATAGAAAACCTGGCATACATAATCACTGCCAAGATTGGTTCAGGTGGGGCAAGCATTTTCAGAATGGGATTTAAAAATTAGATTTGCTTTTTAAAAGTTTCATTTTAACAAGTGCTAATTACGAAAATAGGATACTAGGTAATGAAAAATATTCCAATTTACTCTAAATATGGCTCCTTTTTAATATTTCCTTGTTTGTAACATGTGTACATGAGTAACAAAGTGTTTAACCAGTTGACCATTGATTCTTCTTTCTTTAAGTACATAATCTGTCTTCATATCTCTACAGGTGATAAAGATACAGCATTTCAAACAAATACAGGTTAATTTAAAAACAACAGACTGTTGTGCTACCTTAATCTGCAAACAAGACAATTATCAAAATGTTTGCTGTTAGAAAAAAACCATATTTCCTCAAAATCATTTGTCTGGTATATTCAATCTGAAAATTCATCTATGTATGACCTTTAATACCTGTTTATTTTGGTTTATAAAGGACTCATTCTGCTGATCTGCATTTGCATTAAATTACATTGGAGAAAAGTCACTTGATCAAGTAGGCTATAATAACTAATTTGATTCTTTAGTAACATGTTCAATTGTATTTTCAAAGATAGACTAAACGTGGCCAAAAGAGACAGATAGAAAAGTAAATATGAAAAGTTATTTTCAAAATATCTTAAATAGAAATGTGTAAACCTAAATACTAAGTAACGCAATTGTAACAACAAATGAATTAAATTTCTGCTCTGTTTTTTTGTGAATTGACAATGATAACATAAAAATTCTAGCCTTTGTATGAGGCCGATAAGTCGAATATATCAAACTAAAGATTAGCATATCCAGCTTGGAATTCATCCTTAGTCTATATAAATCTTTCAGCCCTTTTATGTCAATATATCCTCCTTTTTACCTCATACAAAGGCTAGTATTGTATAGTATCACATTGAACCAACAATATTTCAGTAGAAAAGTTCAACAAAAAACATACTATTCCACTGTCTCACAAGTTTATTCATCAAATTGAAATTGAATAGCGGGGAGTAGTATTTGTAAAGTGTTATGGCTATTTGAAAGATATTACTGACAAGCAACGAAAATAGAATCTTATTAAGATAACTCAAGCGCTCCTTGAATATGAATAAATCTTTAGTAATTTTTTAAAATGTGAGCATTGACAATATATCATTGCTCTATGACTTGAATAACTTGTAGACAACTTTGGACAATTCTGACACCTTTTTAAATCCGTTAAGTCACATATGACTTTTCATCAGCACCAAACTAATAACACTTAGTAAGGATGCAAAGAAACAGCACTTGTACAGGACCTTCAAAGGAATATATTTGTCAATCTTAGTTTGGATTGGTTCACGTTTTCTTTAGTAGGATCTATAAAAGTTGTGGATTGATCTGACCTGTTTCTTGCCCATTTGAGCCATATTATAAACAATCAAAGACAAAGCTACAACATTTAGAAAGTACGTTTTTGAACCTTCTAAAGAGCATTCCTGTGCTGTATGATATCAATTCACTTTGATAGTTTTTGAAAATAAAATCCAAATTTTATTTCCAATCTGTTTCAATGAAAACCCTGCCTTCTGCTGGAGACCATTATGAATATCTGGCCCAGACTCATAGCAAAGTAACACCATTAAAGGTTGTTAAAGACCATCAAAGGAACATATATGTCATTTTGGATCAAATTAGAGCAGCAATTTTTTTTGTAGAAAAATCCAGCCAATAAGAAACAATAGATAAAGGCAACCATTTTTGTGCTTTTGTGATTTTATATAAAAAAATGATGTAGAAGAGCAATAATTGATTACAAATTGTTATATACCTGAGACTCCTCTATCTTATGAAGTAATAAAACAACTGAGAGTCTGTTGGTCCTCTGAGATTTCTCTAAACTAATCAGCATTTCAAAGGAACACCATGCACTTCCTAAGGAATTTTCTGTGAGAAACAGTAATGTTTTATCTGCTTTATCGACTAAGCTTGTTATGGATGATAAGACCAGTGTCCCTGCTTGTAAGTCATCCTCTTCGTAAATGTTTATTCCTTTTTCTCTCAGTTTTGGAACAACTACTTCCACTACCAGATTACTGTCTTCCAATTTATTGCTATGAGATATAAAGTATCTGGAAGCCATCCTTTTACTGGAAATAAAATTACAATTGGCATTATTTCCGCAACAAAATTTGATTTTGCAAAATATAATTCAATATATAAATAAACAGCTGCGCCATGAACGCATGATACGGCGGTCGTCTTGTGTGTGAATTTTTATCCAATAATCATAAATAGTTTCTGACATACGGCCTGACATGCGGAAACCCCCTTTTTTTTTTTACAAAAAACTCAATATCTCTAAAATAAAATTTTGAATCAAAACCAAAAAGTATACAGATCTATAGATTAATATAACTAAGAAGTGCGTAAAATTTTAAGCAATAATCATAAATCGTTTTTGAGATACGGCGCGACATGTGAAAACCCCCCTTTTTAAAAAGAAAAATCAATATCTCAAAAATAAAATTTTGAATCAAAACCAAAAAGTATACAGATCTTTTGATTAATATAACTAAGAAGTGTGTAAAATTTTAAGCAATAATCATAAACTGTTTTTGAGATACGGCGCGACATGTGAAAAACCCCTCCCCCTTTTTTAACAAAATACTCAATATCTCTAAAATAAAATTTTGAATCATCCCCAAAAAGTATACAGATCTCAAGATTAATATAACTAAGAAGTGTCTTAAGTTTTAAGCAATAATCATAAAATTGTTTTTGAGATACGGCGCGACATGTGAAAAAAAAACACACACCTGTTTTAGTTACTAAGTCCCGTAACTCAAAAAGTTTTAATCTTATTTCCACCAAAAAGTATACAGATCGTTTGACCATCATAAGAAACAACTAATTCAAGTTTCATGAAATTTTGATAAGTCGTTCTCAAGATACGGTGCAACATGTTTACGCCGGAGAGACAGACGGACAGACGGACAGACGACATTTGTATACCATAATACGTCCCGTCAAAATTTTGACGGGCGTATAAAAAGGTATTAACTATAAAAGAGTTACAAAAAACTGCCAATGGAAGCCTGTCACTAAATTGGATAAACATGATATTCTAAATACTATTTTAGGACAAAAATCCACATAAAAACATATTAACATAGTTTATGTGGAGCAGGATCTGCTTACCCTTCCGGAGCACCTGAGATCACCCCCAGTTTTTGGTGGGGTTCGTGTTGCTTAGTCTTTAGTTTTCTATGTTGTGTCATCTGTACTATTATTTGTCTGTTTGTCTTTTTATTTTTGGCCATGACGTTGTCAGTTTGTTTTCGATCTATGAGTTTGACTGTCCCTCTGGTATCTTTCGTCCCTCTTTTTTAAATCAAACCATTTCTATTCGTTTAAAACTCAATTCATATTTGCCATACAAATATTGACTCACATGAAGATCCTTGTTTAGAAAAATTACAAGCTAACACAATGTCAGGTTAGGGAGTCAAAGTAACTTTTCCAAACCTTAGGGCATGTTAGTCCTTCATTGTAGTGATACTATTAGTAATTGCCTAGGATATTTATGATATTGCATTCTGTTGAGTTACTGAAAAAACAACAAGTTCTAAATAGCCTGTGTCTCTCACCTAGGTCTATGTGCATCTTCAACAATGAACACTCTCAAATATTGTAAACTAGAATACAATTCATGACAAAAATCTCTTTGTTGTTGATTTAGTTTTGCTGATCATTTTATCTGAATACAGTTTCTCTCCATCTTTTCTAGAAAAACAAATCATTTACCTTTGTTCTTTTTCAGCCATGTCGACCATGTTGGTTGGCAAGTAAAGGTCAATGACCACATTTTTAAAACTAGATACCCCAATGATGATTGTGGCAAAGTGGCTGACAACAGAGACCCATAATTAGAAAAACTAACTTGAACATTTGATATTTACTCTAATATTTAGATCACATTGGGATAAAGGTATAAACAAAACAATAGTGTAACCAAAAACCACATGTTAAAGACATTATAAAGACAATGGTTAAAATATTTAGAAAAAAAAAAATTGAAACAAAATTAAATACACATTTTACTAAATATTGAGCAACAAAAAACTTCAACAAAAAGCTTTTGGTGAATTTAGGTCATACCAATAGGTATGCAGTTCCTGCTTCACTAGTAAAGCAAACTACAGGCCTAAAAGAACATGTGATACTCTCCTCACTCAATATGCATCTTCAACATTTTCCACTCTCCAAGACTCCAACATGATAGATCAGAATTTAATTCATAACTTTCTTCTTTTTTTTTGTATCTTGTAAGTTTTTATCTGTTGACTCCCCATAAAACACACAAAAAATATTAAAAATCATCATTTAAGGGCAATAACTCATAAAGGGTTGTGGCCCGACAATTTCTGCAATGTATACCTATTTCTGTGTCATTGCTACTTTTGGAGTTTCTCTCTATCTTTTATAGTGTTTGCCCAAAATGCAAAAAATTGTAAAAAGTGTCAAATTAGGGCAATAACTCCACAAAGAAATAGATTGCGGACAATTTCAACTATATGACTTCATCTAGCTAACCTGTTTTGCTTTACAGTTTTTCTTTATCTACTATGTTTTTCCAAAAATGCAAAAATGGGTAAAAATTATGGTTATGAAAACTTATTTATCTACCTTGTCCTGATGATATTTATCTTTACAATTTTCAAGATAATAGGCAAATACCTAAAAACATGGTAAATGTTGTAATTTAGGTTCAATAACTCCTGTGAGGTGTTGACTTACAATTTCTGCTATGTTTCCTTATTTGTAGATCTTGTTTTGCTGATTATTTGGCATCAAAATGATTTTGTCTATCTATTACTTTTCAAGATTTTTCTGACTATTTTAACATAAACAAAAAGTAGATAGATCTTCACTCAGATATTCTCTATCTATAAGAGTTTCCAAAATAATACTACTTGTATTTATCCCTTTATGTTCTATTTTTAGCATTGGTGGCAATGTTTGTTGGCCAGCAATATAACCAGACAAATTCTATGAACATTATTTCCCAAGGATGGTTGTGTAGTTTAAGCCTCCACTAATCATTTGAAGTTTTGGAATGTTGTTAATGACCACTTAACACAAATCAAGTTAAAAAGTTTATAAATTTCACTATTGCCTTTCCAGTGTTATATGACATTCTATGCGACTGTCATACAAGTGAGAGGTTTAGCTAGCTATCAAGTCAGGTTTGATCTACCATTTTCTACATAAGGAAATGCCTATACCAAGTCAGGAATATGACAGTTGTTCTCCATTCGTTTGATGTGTTTGAGCTTTTGATATTGCCATTAGATAAGGGACTTTCTGTTTTGAATTTTCCTTGGAGTTCAGTATTTTTGTTATTTTACTTTTTGATAAAGTGTAAGATAGTCTTTTTTGTTGATTCCACACAGTTACTTGATTAAGCCTCTGCCAAATCTTTTGAAGTTTATTGGGGGAAATGTTGTAATGAACCTACTGCACACAGATCCAGTTCGAAGGAGATGGTAACTTTGGCTACTTTTTTGGCCACTCAATAGTCTATTTGCATATATTCAGTAATTGAACTAGAGATCCATTTGTAGTTGTTGTTTCTCTTAGAAGCAAATTTTTCATTGGGTACTGTAACTACTGTTTGTAATATATAATTACAATTTATCAATTTTAATTCAAGCAAAAAGCTTTGGATATCAATATCCCCAAGTCAAACTGAACTGCTATTCATAGCTGTTTGATAGCTGTTATTTGCCAGTTCTTCATATTTTTAGGAGTTTGTTAGCTGTTCTTAGCAAGCCATAACAGTTTGAAAAACTGCCTTGTTTCATCATTTCTTAGCATTTACCCTTAGCAGTTTTGAAAACTTGAAACTGCTGTCAATCTGACAGCAGTTATTGATAGCAGTTATTGACAGCAGTTCGACAGCAGTTTTGGTTTTAATCTTTTTATAAAAATGCTTGGATCTGGTCTGGCTGTGTTTTCAGCTTGAAAGTAAACCTGTACTTGAAAATTATTTGATCATTTTTAAATGTGCATTTGGCTCCAAGCTGTGTATAAATACTTGCTAGTGAATAAACTGTTGTCACAGAAATATGTCTCGCCTTTTTGTGATTTTGATTGTGCAAATGTTGAAATTAAAATAGCAATACTTTAAAATGTAAGTTATGCAAATATTCAAAGTCAATGAACCATGACTGAAGGTACATGGCTAAACATTCTCCATAGAAATGAGATGTGCCAATCCTAATGCAACTGCATACCAAATACCATTGACTATGTAAAAGTTTCAAAGTCAATGAACCATGATGAGGGGGTGGGGTTATATAATCTCCATGGAAACTATACTTCCAAATGCCAATAAATTTGCATACCAAATATCATTGACTTAACATTAGCAGTTCATCTTAAACTGATCTACTCACAAACTAATACATGTAAACTAAGCAAAAGTTTCAAAGTCAATAGACCATGACTGAGGAGGCGGGGCCAAATATTCTCCATGGAAATGAAATGTGCTAATGCTTATACAACTGAATATCAATCAAAATTGGCCTACCACTAATGGTCCCCCTTGAACTGACCTAATCAGAAACTAATACATGTAAACTAAGCAAAATTTTCAGTCAAAAGACCATGACTAAGGGGGCGGAGTCAAATAATCTCCCTGGAAATGAGATATGCCAATGCTTATACAACTGCATACCAAATATCATTGACCTACCACTAGTGGTTCCCCATAAACTGACCAAATCACAAACTAATACATGTAAACTAAACAAAAGTTTCAAAGTAAATAGACCATGACTGAGCGGGCATTGCCAAATAATCTATATGGACATGAGATGTACCAATGCTAATACAACTGCATACTAAATATCATTGACCTACCACTTGTAGTTCACCATAAACTAGACCTAATCACAAACTAATACATTGTTGACGCCGCCGCCGACTACGCCGGAAACAGCATATCCATGTCTCGCTTTTTGACTCCGTCAAGGAGAGACAAAAACTGTATTTATGTCAATTATAAAGTTTGATTAAGGCTAAATGGAATACTTTAACACACCTGCAGTACAGTAAGTTGAAGTTACAGTTAATGCATGTGCATATTAAATGTTCTAACAAAATTTTGGAGGGGAAAACAGAAATCATACAAGACAGCCATAAAAAAAGGGGATAGTCGTTTATTCACATAGAACAGATGTTTACAGGAGTGTAATGAAATACTAGCATATACAGTTCAAGAAGTTATTTAAAAAGAAAAATAAAAAGATGAAGATTTTATTACAATTTTGTAAAGAAACAAAAACAAATCATATTCAAGCGTTGAAAAAGGGGGAGATCTGAAAATAACTTAGTCAAGGTAATTAATACGGTTTTTAGGAACCACTCTTATTGAATTAATTGCTTTTTCTAAGCACTGATTTAAAAATGCATTCTTTACTGCTCCTATTATTCGACCACTGACATAATTAACAAGAGGCTCACAAGAGCCTGAATCGCTCACCTGGTAAAAAATATGTTATTTTGGTATTTATTTTTTTCTTTTATTGTAATCAGTTCTGTTTGCTTATTAGTAGATCTTATTTAGTGGCATGTTAGTAGGTCTTGTATTTATGATCATTTTTATGGTTTATAGTTTATACCTATCTGTTAAAGTTTTAAAAAAAAATATATCATTTCATGGCAATAAATCCTATAACTATATAAGTGTGACAATTTGATTATGTTGTCTTACTTGTAGATCTTGTTTTAAAAAAAAATTAGGATTTTTTAAGTTCCCTCCTATATGTCTAACTCCTATAGTTTTTGACAAAAATAATAAACTAGAGGCTCTAAAGAGCCTGTGTCGCTCAGCTTGGTCTATGTGCATATTCAACAAAGGACACTCTCCAACATTGAAGACGAGAATAGAATTCATGACAAAAATCTCTGTATTTGCTGATCATTTGGTCTGTTTAGTTTCTCTCTATCTTCTTTAGTTTTTGCTCAAAACACAAAAGAAGGTAAAACAAATCCTCATTTCAGGGCAATCACTACTATAAAGAGTGACAGTCTACTACCTATATCGTCAACATTTGACTTGTTAGTAGATCTTGCCTTGCTGATCATTTTTGTGATTTAAAGTGTCTATTTATCTATTATAATTTTTATCATGTAAGGCAAAACGCAAAAAAATGGTAAAAATCGTCATTAAAGGCAATAATTCCAATAAGGTGCCGCCGGACGATTTCCTCTATATTTGTCTAATTGTAGATCTTGTCTTGCTGATCATTTTTGCTAATTTAAGTTTCTACTGAGACTACTATAACATGTTATAGTAGTCTTAGGTTTCTATCTATCTATTATAAGATATAAGGCAAAAACGCAAAAAATTGGTAAAAATCATCATCAAAGAGCAATAACTCTAAGAAGGGGTCAGCTGACGATTTCGACCATGAGAATCATTTGTAGAACTTGTCTTAATGATCATTTTTTGCAGTTTAAAGTTTATCTGTACCTTTTTTTACCCCTAAGTTCTATTTTTAGCCATATCAGTCATCTTGGTTGGCAGGCGGAGTCATCGGACACATTTTTGAAACTAGATACCCCAATGATGATTGTGGCCAAGTTTGGTTAAATTTGGCCCGGTAGTTTCAGAGGAGATTTTTGTACAAGTTAACAAACGACGACGACGACGACGACGACGGATGACGGACGACGGACGAAGGACGCCAAGTGATGAGAAAAGCTCACTTGGCCCTGTGGAACAGGTGAGCTAATAAGGGTTCTAAAGCCAGGTTGAGTATTCACAAAACATGTCTACACCCCCTCAACCTCCGGGCACATATATTTTTTGCCTGTCCAAAGTCTCCAGCTGTCTACATATAGAATTTTGATAGCATTCCATAGCAGTTATTAGCAGTTTTGAAAACCGTATTAGGATGTACAACTTAGCAGTTTGTATGAATATTCATTATTGACAGCTGTTATTATAGCTGTTCTCATGAGTATTCAGAGATGATAGCAGTTTTTGGATATCTCATTTAAATTTTTCGTTAAAAATAACAGCTAAATAACTGTGAAGGCTAAATAAACTGCTGAGAAACTGCTAAGGAATGCTATTGGAATGCCTATATGCTAATTAATCGTTGCCTTGAATTTAGCAACTATGAATGCTAATGAACTGCTAAAGAACAGCTGTCAAGTAAGAACTGTGAATGCTAATAAACTGCTTAAGAACTGCTGTCCTATTTGACTTGATCAATACATGTACATTTTTGTAGTTTTTTTTCAATGAAAATTGGTTAAGACGCAGACCTGCCAATTTGCATGATTTATGGGGGATTTCCCCCAAGAGAGGTGTTGACCTGAATTTAGGAATTCTTTTATTGTATGAACTGAATACCTTTAAACAGGCAATCAAATGAATAAAACGGCTATTTAAGCATATGCATACTCATTCAAATAATATAGTAGTAGACTAAACACTTTTATGACAATACAAGAAGAGCTTTAGGTCCTCTTGCGCTTAAAACCCCCCATGGAAACTTTGAAAAGTTGGCAGGTATGAACACGCCTATCATATCACTTTCTATTTATCATGCTATGCATGGGCAGAGGGCAATTTTGTCCAGTTAAGAACCTGTTTATTTATATCAAAAGGAAACAAATTGTGTTAAAAGTGTGTAATAACATAATCAAATAGGTAATTGGCAAACTTAATAGACTATTCGAAAATTAAAACATATTAAAAATCTATCAAATTGTTCATAAGACATTATTAGTCTGACAGATTTTAGCATTAATAATTTTGTCTTACATATTTGCATTGCATCAAGGTTTCATATCTTGAATTTAGTGAAAACTGCACAAACTGCTAAAATATCCACATTTTGAGATTTTAGAATGAAAAATTTTGTCCTGCATTTTTTTAAGTTGTAATCTCTGTCCTGCCTTTTTATTTCTCACTCTATTCGGTCCTGCCTTTTTTTTTATTAGTTTATCCTGCCTTTTTTATTTGCCAAGTTGCTCATCCTGCCTTTTTTTTACTCAACACACCTGTCCTGCCTTTTTTCAAATTTTCATTCATTGTGTTAAGTCATAAGTGGTCATTAACAACATTCCCAAAACTTAAAATGATTTGTGGTCAAACAACACAAGTTCACATCTGGAAACCAACTTCCAGATGAATATAACTATACTTATGTTAGTAGTATATTAATGTATGGGTGTGAGATATGGGGAGTACACAAATCCCCTATGATAGAAAAGGTTCATTTGGACTACTGTACAATGTTATTAAGTGTCAAAAGAACGACCTCAAATGTGATGGTTGAGTACTTTAAATTAGGTAGATTTCCACTGCAGTATGAGCGTAATTTTAGAATATTTAAATTTTGGTTCAAAATTTTAGTGAGTGACAATTGTAAATTAGGGTCTTGTTATAAAGAGCTTGTGTTAAATTGTTCAAAATGTATGAATTGGGCAACATATGTAAGATTGTTATATAGTCTTGGTATGAATGATTTGTGGGATAATCAGTGGTTGTTGAATGTAGACAGCTCATATTTACCTTCAATAAGACAGCCTTTGTTTGATCAAGCTAAACAAGAGTTACATTTTTTATTAAACTCTTCTGCAAAGTGTAGATAATATAAGTATGTGGTAACAAATGTAGTTTTGCAATTTTATTTACAGGAATGCATTCCTGTACTTTTTCGCAAATGTATAACAATGATTCGTATGTCTTCACATAACCTTTGTATTGAAACTGGACGTTATGTTGGTACTATTAGAAATGAAAGAAATTGTATTTTTTGTGATTTAAGAGTGTCCATAGAGGATGAATTTCATTTCATCCTACAATGTAGCAGATATACTGATTTGCGTAAAAAAATATATCAAAAAATATTACTGGTCTAGGCCATCAACTTTTAAGTTAATAGAATTATTGTCTGGTGAAAACACAAAACAGCTTTGTAACTTAGAAAATATATACATTTCTCTTTTAAATTAAGAAACAGTTTTTTGTAAAGTTATTTTGTAATCATGAAACTTCTGACCTCACCTATTGTTGTTTATACATATTGTAAATATTGTTTGTAATATGCCATATGTATACACTGTATTTGAATACACTGATGAGCCGTAAGGCTCAAAGTTAATAAAGAATTTGAATTTGAATTTTAAATGCCCCTGTTAACTCTCAGCAGAAACTGAATCAAATGGCAAGATATAAATCACTCTGAACATTTAATCAGACAACCATAGATCTGATACCAAAACAAAATGAAGTCATAAACAGACAAAAATGAGTCACTGACAACTACTAAAAAGATTCCTGACTGTATACAAACATTAATAGTTTTTAGAAGAATGTTCCTTTCTACTGGGTGTTCGTTAAAATTATACCTATAATCATAAAGCATCCATGCAAACTGCATAAACAGTCTTGAAGCTACATATATGGCAAAGCTCATGCTGCAATCACCATTCACCTGTTAAACTACAAAGTTAATCCAGCAAGTTCTGACTGAAAGAAAAGTTTGAATTTTTAATGTGGAAACTTTAATGATTTTCATCTATTTGTAAAAACAAGAAAGGTTGTTAATACTTTTATAAAGACTAAATAGAATCTCAGATATACCTTTGTTATTCTTTTTCTACTAGTATATTATGTCCAATGGATGATGTGTTAAAGCCAATGATATGGCAACCCAACAAAGCAAAAAGCAATAGGAGACATCTAGAGGTCAATATATATTGAACAGTCTTTTATCAGATATGTCAGGATTTCAATTCAGTTAATTGTTAATAAAAGGAAACACTTCATAATAAAGAATATTACATCTACACCAGAAACCAATATATTGGTAACCAAAATTCCTGCATGAAAATAAAAGATTAAAGGGAACAGCAATTATACCATCATAACTGATAGATAAAAAGTTTGAATTACATGTACTAGTTTTGTTTTTACATATAGTTCATTTCAGGTTACTGTTTGTAAATTGATGTTTCTGCTAACATTTTCTTACATGTCTAAAAATTTCATAGAAACAGGAGAGGAATATTGTTGCAGATTTTGTGATTACCTATACCAATAGTTAGAATTTAATTTTTTATGTGTAATTAGAATTGAGAGGAACACTGATGAGACAATAACGCAAGGGATTACAAAAATGACAAGAATTTAGAAAATGAAACAGTGCCTGTACAACTTACTTTTAACTTCAAACTAAATCACCAAGATCATATTTTCAACTATCAATTAAAACTGACAGGTGAATACCAACTTACTAATCTTATTGAAGTTCCAAGTTCACATTGATTTTAGTTGCCGTTTGATCATATACGATAAAGTAACTGTGTGTTCTCTACTCTCTAAAACTAGGGTTCTGATTTTTCCCCATTAGGAGCAATGTAGCAGTCCAAGAGTGATTCTCTCCAGGCAGACTTAATGTTTTAAATGTTATGCAATGAATACAATTAAGTTCTAATGTGCAGTAGTAAATACATTTTTGTTTACAGTAACAAGAAAACTTACATAGGTGTGCTAAGCATTCCAGACACCTAACTCATACATATTTTTGGTAAATTATGACGATGTTTTCACTTAATTGTCTCACTGTTTATTTATATTGTACTTTAAACATATTGTATTGTCCCAGACAAATTCAGGCAAAAAGTACACCTCCAATAATATGTAAGAATGTTCAAATACAAATATGCCATTTTTTAGAATGTCCAAATACAAATATGCCATTTTTAAGAATGTTCAGTATATTTATTTTCAAGAATGTTCCATATAAGTTTTTAATTTTAGCACATACCATAAAAAAAACATATAGAAAATTATTTGAATTATCTTTCCAATTTTTTCCCTTCAAAAAATTATTGTTTTCTGCAAAGATTTGCAGAACATTGTATCCGATTTTACAGATCACATTAAAGTGGGATATATGCAATATATGTACATCATCAGAAAATATAAAATTTATTTGTATGAGCTTTAGAAACAGGTTGAAAAGTGAGGTTTGACGAGCTTTTCTCCTGTTTCGTTGCGAGTACAAATAAATTTTCACCATCAAGTGCACTTTTCCAAATTTTGTATAAGATTCTTATTGATCCCTCTCCAATTCGGTTTACACACAGTGGCTAATCCTCTTTTGGTTTTAGAATACATTTAAGCTCACTTCGGTGTTATATGTACCTGTTCCAAGAAACTGGTGCATGAAGTTTAGAGGTTGTTCTGGCCTTTGTCTTAAATATTTTTTTTTCATTGCATGTAAATATCATGATGGGTCTTGTCCCTTTTTTTAAATCTTAGTTTTGATCTGTAGTTTGTTATACTGATACACTTTTTTACTTTTATGGATATATGTCTCATTGGCAATCATACCACAGATCTTTAATTTTATAACCAAATTACTTCATTAGTAGAAAGTAAAATAACAAAAATACCGAACTCCGAGGAAAATTCAAAACGAAAAATCCCTAATCAAATAAGTAGATTATTAGTTTATATATAATACATTATAAAACAGTTTGTCTTGTCTTAGGCAATCATCATAATTATATGTATAAATCTAATATCTAGGTCTTTTCTTGACACTTATTGTTATTATGTTGAACTAAAGGAGCATGCACACATTCAAAATGGTGGAATCTAATTCATTGTACTTACCAAAAGGTATGCTCCTAAATCTAACAGTCAACGCATCAGAGAATACATCTGCACTATTTAATGTCAAGAACTATTTGGAACTATTTCATCTGCATCCAATGTAAACTTTACATTTTGTTCAAGAGAGAAGACATCTTTGCTTGTTGTCTGCATTTCATTGCAAGTTCAAATTTTAAATGTGTTGGGGGTTGTATAAGGAGTTGTCTGATTTCTTTTAAAAGTGCCCCGATTGAATACTGTTAATTACCTATATCTTGAATATTTTATATATATTATAATAAAAAATTATCCATTTATTGTTTATTTACCATCTTTATGTTTTAAGTTATAATAATTGCACAAAAATGTATAAAGCCATGTGCTCCCCTTCATTTGGCCTCACACTCTATGTTCATAATACTTCCTGTGGACTACACAGAGATGAATGAAAAACAGATGGCACATTACATTTCTTTCACTGGCTCACATGTCTAATTGATGATAATAATTAATGCATGGAAATAATTTGTGTGTACATTTTTTTCCACACTAAAGTCATCATTCAACACCCTTTCCATCTCAAAAATATTCTAAGTCCAGATTATATCCTCTTTTCCATGTTAAAAATATTCTAAGTCAAGATTCCATCCTCTTTTCAATCTCGAAAATCTTTTCCATCTACAAAGTTTTCTAAGTCTACTTTCCATCCCATTTTCCATCCAAACAGTATTTTTCCATGGAATTCCATGGAAAGTTTTCCATCATATCATGGAAAATGATGGAATAAGTGACACATATAAGTTTCTATCAATGATTGAATATTTTTCCATGAACTTCCATGGAATTCCATGGAAAAAACGAAATTTCCATCATTTTCCATCATTTTTTCATGGAAAAAGTTGAGCTGCATGGAAATACTAGGGATGAGTGATTAGCACTGGCTACGATTACTTATTGCCGGAATGCTAGGTCGGGTGAGGAACTGATAAATTGTTATCATTATTATCAAGCATAGCAGAGAATTCAGCAACAAAACTAAACTTTGGTTAAAAGTTTAATAAAAATGTAACTTAACAATACTGCAATGTACCCATAGACACAAATATTATTGTTACATTCGTATTTAATCGGTTCCTCAACCAAAATAGCATTTTGGTAATTAGTGTCTTTTTTAACATAGTTGTAGTCAGTGCCTTTCTGATTTGGCCATGCACACACAGAATAGTGCCCTGTCCTTAAGTATTATGATAAATCTTGTCCAAATAATTATGACATCTTGAAAGGCTATTTTATTACACCACAATTGTCACAGAAAAAAAAAATTAAAATTGCCTTTCAAGACGTCATAAATTATTATTTGGACTAGTTAAAATCCTGACAGGAACAGTAGAAAGCTGGGGAAGAGTTTACAAGAATTGTTTTACTCAACTGTTACTATCAGACCGTAAAAAATATTGAACAATTTACTTTGTATATTATCCTTGGGCATTTTCACTTACCCTTTCTTTCTTCCAGGAAAGGAACAGTAATCAAACGTTGAATGTTTTAAAGTGGTACAGCAATTCGAAAACTTATCTTCCGGCCGTATCGGGCAAAGTTTACAGCTAATCTTCTTTTCGTCTACCTTTGTTCTTTATACTTTGTGACGCTTTCTCAGATAAAAATTAACTTGATGAAATTAGGCTTACATCTTTCGTTTGAACAGTTGCTGGAATTACCAGCGCATCATGGGTTTTTTTTTTAACTGTTCAAAACGAAAGTAGAGCAGACTTGTTTCCCATGTCCAAAGGAACCAGATCTAGGAGATACTAAAAACGGATAAAGTACGGACGTTTTTTACGGATATTTTTTCCAATCAGAGGAAATGTATGTTTATATGTATCATTTTTTATAAGTATACAATTCAACACTGTAATTAGATCATTAAATATTGTTTTTATTGGTACTGATATTGATTTTGTTATCAGTATATTAAAAGCAAACTAAATATTACTGTTATATACATATACACATTCATGGATCTACAATCTGTCGATACCTGTATCTTGGCATTACACAAGATCATGTTTTTCTCTGACTGTTTATGACGTCTTTACACTCAATCCATTGGATGCTGGATGTGTACGGATTGATAATTTAGTCTTAGATGCATGATTTTTTTTATTAGTTGTTAGTGGCTTTGAACTAGCTGTCAGTAACTGCGAGTACTCTCAGATCTGTACTTAGTGTCTTTTTGTTGTTTGGATGTACAAGTACCCGGCCACGTCCACTTGTATTTGTAGTATTTGTATTTTTATCCATCTGATGAGTTAAGCCTCTTTCAACTAATTTTTATAGTTCGTTCTTATGTTGTACTGTTACACCACTGTCCCAGGTTAGGGGGAGGGTTGGGATCCCGCTAACATGTTTAACCCCGCCACATTCTGTATGTATGTGCCTGTCCCAAGTCAGGATCCTGTAATTCAATGGTTGTCGTTTGTTTATGTGTTACATATTTGTTTTTCGTTCATTTTTTGTACATAAATTAGGCCGTTAGTTTTCTCGTTTGAATTGTTTTACATTGTCATTTCGGGGCCTTTTATAGCTGACTGTGCGGTATGGGCTTTGTTCATTGTTGAAGGCCGTACGGTGACCTATAGTTGTTAATTTCTGTGTCATTTGGTCTGTTGTGGAGAGTTGTCTCATTGGAAATCATACCACATCTTCTTTTTTATATAGTGTAAAATAAGTCAGTCAATCTTGAGAAAATCCCAAATCAAAATGTCATCGGTCCTGCCATTTAGCAGTAACTACCATATTTTTTTTAATCAATTGTCAAGAATCAGTCCGGTCGATATTGCGCATGCGTGAATTGAGATACATGGATAACATCGGTATATAGAAGTTATATGGAAAATAATCTTTACAAGACGATATTCAATTTTCTTCTCAGTGGATTTCTTAATCCTTAACGTGTCTCCCGATTTTTAATGCTATAAATTATTTTAAAATTATGTTTGAACTTCTTGCTACAAATTTGGATTTTTTACAGTGATGTCAAATGTCTTACATTTGCCGTTATTCTTACAGGAAAATGTCATTTTTCGGAAGAGTGGTCAGCTTTGAAAAAATAAATAAAATACTTTTACTGATGATATACCTTAGCTGCTGCAACCAAGAAATAGATGAAAAATTAAAGTTGAACGTGGTGTAGTTTATTTTCAAATTGATTATTTTCTTCTTGCTACAAATTTGATTTAAAAGTAGGCTATTTTTAGGTTTTTTTCTATCAAATTCTATTTGACAACAGGATACATTGTGTGTGTAAACAGATAGTAACCTGTTATACAATCGTGTTTATACAGTCATGCTGAGACATAAAAGATTCCCAGAGTCATGTAATATAGTGTTAACTAAGCACAGCCTGATATGACCGCAGAGGTCGAACCCTGAACAGTTGGGGCAAGTTTGGACACAATATTCAAGCTTGATACTGCCTGAATTTGGATTGTGATCAAATTTTTCCGATCAAAGGTTTCCGACACAAAATAAAAAAAATCTATTTGTAAAAACAAGAAAGGTTGTTAATACTTTTATAAAGACTAAATAGAATCTCAGATATACCTTTGTTATTCTTTTTCTACTAGTATATTATGTCCAATGGATGATGTGTTAAAGCCAATGATATGGCAACCCAACAAAGCAAAAAGCAATAGGAGACATCTAGAGGTCAATATATATTGAACAGTCTTTTATCAGATATGTCAGGATTTCAATTCAGTTAATTGTTAATAAAAGGAAACACTTCATAATAAAGAATATTACATCTACACCAGAAACCAATATATTGGTAACCAAAATTCCTGCATGAAAATAAAAGATTAAAGGGAACAGCAATTATACCATCATAACTGATAGATAAAAAGTTTGAATTACATGTACTAGTTTTGTTTTTACATATAGTTCATTTCAGGTTACTGTTTGTAAATTGATGTTTCTGCTAACATTTTCTTACATGTCTAAAAATTTCATAGAAACAGGAGAGGAATATTGTTGCAGATTTTGTGATTACCTATACCAATAGTTAGAATTTAATTTTTTATGTGTAATTAGAATTGAGAGGAACACTGATGAGACAATAACGCAAGGGATTACAAAAATGACAAGAATTTAGAAAATGAAACAGTGCCTGTACAACTTACTTTTAACTTCAAACTAAATCACCAAGATCATATTTTCAACTATCAATTAAAACTGACAGGTGAATACCAACTTACTAATCTTATTGAAGTTCCAAGTTCACATTGATTTTAGTTGCCGTTTGATCATATACGATAAAGTAACTGTGTGTTCTCTACTCTCTAAAACTAGGGTTCTGATTTTTCCCCATTAGGAGCAATGTAGCAGTCCAAGAGTGATTCTCTCCAGGCAGACTTAATGTTTTAAATGTTATGCAATGAATACAATTAAGTTCTAATGTGCAGTAGTAAATACATTTTTGTTTACAGTAACAAGAAAACTTACATAGGTGTGCTAAGCATTCCAGACACCTAACTCATACATATTTTTGGTAAATTATGACGATGTTTTCACTTAATTGTCTCACTGTTTATTTATATTGTACTTTAAACATATTGTATTGTCCCAGACAAATTCAGGCAAAAAGTACACCTCCAATAATATGTAAGAATGTTCAAATACAAATATGCCATTTTTTAGAATGTCCAAATACAAATATGCCATTTTTAAGAATGTTCAGTATATTTATTTTCAAGAATGTTCCATATAAGTTTTTAATTTTAGCACATACCATAAAAAAAACATATAGAAAATTATTTGAATTATCTTTCCAATTTTTTCCCTTCAAAAAATTATTGTTTTCTGCAAAGATTTGCAGAACATTGTATCCGATTTTACAGATCACATTAAAGTGGGATATATGCAATATATGTACATCATCAGAAAATATAAAATTTATTTGTATGAGCTTTAGAAACAGGTTGAAAAGTGAGGTTTGACGAGCTTTTCTCCTGTTTCGTTGCGAGTACAAATAAATTTTCACCATCAAGTGCACTTTTCCAAATTTTGTATAAGATTCTTATTGATCCCTCTCCAATTCGGTTTACACACAGTGGCTAATCCTCTTTTGGTTTTAGAATACATTTAAGCTCACTTCGGTGTTATATGTACCTGTTCCAAGAAACTGGTGCATGAAGTTTAGAGGTTGTTCTGGCCTTTGTCTTAAATATTTTTTTTTCATTGCATGTAAATATCATGATGGGTCTTGTCCCTTTTTTTAAATCTTAGTTTTGATCTGTAGTTTGTTATACTGATACACTTTTTTACTTTTATGGATATATGTCTCATTGGCAATCATACCACAGATCTTTAATTTTATAACCAAATTACTTCATTAGTAGAAAGTAAAATAACAAAAATACCGAACTCCGAGGAAAATTCAAAACGAAAAATCCCTAATCAAATAAGTAGATTATTAGTTTATATATAATACATTATAAAACAGTTTGTCTTGTCTTAGGCAATCATCATAATTATATGTATAAATCTAATATCTAGGTCTTTTCTTGACACTTATTGTTATTATGTTGAACTAAAGGAGCATGCACACATTCAAAATGGTGGAATCTAATTCATTGTACTTACCAAAAGGTATGCTCCTAAATCTAACAGTCAACGCATCAGAGAATACATCTGCACTATTTAATGTCAAGAACTATTTGGAACTATTTCATCTGCATCCAATGTAAACTTTACATTTTGTTCAAGAGAGAAGACATCTTTGCTTGTTGTCTGCATTTCATTGCAAGTTCAAATTTTAAATGTGTTGGGGGTTGTATAAGGAGTTGTCTGATTTCTTTTAAAAGTGCCCCGATTGAATACTGTTAATTACCTATATCTTGAATATTTTATATATATTATAATAAAAAATTATCCATTTATTGTTTATTTACCATCTTTATGTTTTAAGTTATAATAATTGCACAAAAATGTATAAAGCCATGTGCTCCCCTTCATTTGGCCTCACACTCTATGTTCATAATACTTCCTGTGGACTACACAGAGATGAATGAAAAACAGATGGCACATTACATTTCTTTCACTGGCTCACATGTCTAATTGATGATAATAATTAATGCATGGAAATAATTTGTGTGTACATTTTTTTCCACACTAAAGTCATCATTCAACACCCTTTCCATCTCAAAAATATTCTAAGTCCAGATTATATCCTCTTTTCCATGTTAAAAATATTCTAAGTCAAGATTCCATCCTCTTTTCAATCTCGAAAATCTTTTCCATCTACAAAGTTTTCTAAGTCTACTTTCCATCCCATTTTCCATCCAAACAGTATTTTTCCATGGAATTCCATGGAAAGTTTTCCATCATATCATGGAAAATGATGGAATAAGTGACACATATAAGTTTCTATCAATGATTGAATATTTTTCCATGAACTTCCATGGAATTCCATGGAAAAAACGAAATTTCCATCATTTTCCATCATTTTTTCATGGAAAAAGTTGAGCTGCATGGAAATACTAGGGATGAGTGATTAGCACTGGCTACGATTACTTATTGCCGGAATGCTAGGTCGGGTGAGGAACTGATAAATTGTTATCATTATTATCAAGCATAGCAGAGAATTCAGCAACAAAACTAAACTTTGGTTAAAAGTTTAATAAAAATGTAACTTAACAATACTGCAATGTACCCATAGACACAAATATTATTGTTACATTCGTATTTAATCGGTTCCTCAACCAAAATAGCATTTTGGTAATTAGTGTCTTTTTTAACATAGTTGTAGTCAGTGCCTTTCTGATTTGGCCATGCACACACAGAATAGTGCCCTGTCCTTAAGTATTATGATAAATCTTGTCCAAATAATTATGACATCTTGAAAGGCTATTTTATTACACCACAATTGTCACAGAAAAAAAAAATTAAAATTGCCTTTCAAGACGTCATAAATTATTATTTGGACTAGTTAAAATCCTGACAGGAACAGTAGAAAGCTGGGGAAGAGTTTACAAGAATTGTTTTACTCAACTGTTACTATCAGACCGTAAAAAATATTGAACAATTTACTTTGTATATTATCCTTGGGCATTTTCACTTACCCTTTCTTTCTTCCAGGAAAGGAACAGTAATCAAACGTTGAATGTTTTAAAGTGGTACAGCAATTCGAAAACTTATCTTCCGGCCGTATCGGGCAAAGTTTACAGCTAATCTTCTTTTCGTCTACCTTTGTTCTTTATACTTTGTGACGCTTTCTCAGATAAAAATTAACTTGATGAAATTAGGCTTACATCTTTCGTTTGAACAGTTGCTGGAATTACCAGCGCATCATGGGTTTTTTTTTTAACTGTTCAAAACGAAAGTAGAGCAGACTTGTTTCCCATGTCCAAAGGAACCAGATCTAGGAGATACTAAAAACGGATAAAGTACGGACGTTTTTTACGGATATTTTTTCCAATCAGAGGAAATGTATGTTTATATGTATCATTTTTTATAAGTATACAATTCAACACTGTAATTAGATCATTAAATATTGTTTTTATTGGTACTGATATTGATTTTGTTATCAGTATATTAAAAGCAAACTAAATATTACTGTTATATACATATACACATTCATGGATCTACAATCTGTCGATACCTGTATCTTGGCATTACACAAGATCATGTTTTTCTCTGACTGTTTATGACGTCTTTACACTCAATCCATTGGATGCTGGATGTGTACGGATTGATAATTTAGTCTTAGATGCATGATTTTTTTTATTAGTTGTTAGTGGCTTTGAACTAGCTGTCAGTAACTGCGAGTACTCTCAGATCTGTACTTAGTGTCTTTTTGTTGTTTGGATGTACAAGTACCCGGCCACGTCCACTTGTATTTGTAGTATTTGTATTTTTATCCATCTGATGAGTTAAGCCTCTTTCAACTAATTTTTATAGTTCGTTCTTATGTTGTACTGTTACACCACTGTCCCAGGTTAGGGGGAGGGTTGGGATCCCGCTAACATGTTTAACCCCGCCACATTCTGTATGTATGTGCCTGTCCCAAGTCAGGATCCTGTAATTCAATGGTTGTCGTTTGTTTATGTGTTACATATTTGTTTTTCGTTCATTTTTTGTACATAAATTAGGCCGTTAGTTTTCTCGTTTGAATTGTTTTACATTGTCATTTCGGGGCCTTTTATAGCTGACTGTGCGGTATGGGCTTTGTTCATTATTGAAGGCCGTACGGTGACCTATAGTTGTTAATTTCTGTGTCATTTGGTCTGTTGTGGAGAGTTGTCTCATTGGAAATCATACCACATCTTCTTTTTTATATAGTGTAAAATAAGTCAGTCAATCTTGAGAAAATCCCAAATCAAAATGTCATCGGTCCTGCCATTTAGCAGTAACTACCATATTTTTTTTAATCAATTGTCAAGAATCAGTCCGGTCGATATTGCGCATGCGTGAATTGAGATACATGGATAACATCGGTATATAGAAGTTATATGGAAAATAATCTTTACAAGACGATATTCAATTTTCTTCTCAGTGGATTTCTTAATCCTTAACGTGTCTCCCGCTTTTTAATGCTATAAATTATTTTAAAATTATGTTTGAACTTCTTGCTACAAATTTGGATTTTTTACAGTGATGTCAAATGTCTTACATTTGCCGTTATTCTTACAGGAAAATGTCATTTTTCGGAAGAGTGGTCAGCTTTGAAAAAATAAATAAAATACTTTTACTGATGATATACCTTAGCTGCTGCAACCAAGAAATAGATGAAAAATTAAAGTTGAACGTGGTGTAGTTTATTTTCAAATTGATTATTTTCTTCTTGCTACAAATTTGATTTAAAAGTAGGCTATTTTTAGGTTTTTTTCTATCAAATTCTATTTGACAACAGGATACATTGTGTGTGTAAACAGATAGTAACCTGTTATACAATCGTGTTTATACAGTCATGCTGAGACATAAAAGATTCCCAGAGTCATGTAATATAGTGTTAACTAAGCACAGCCTGATATGACCGCAGAGGTCGAACCCTGAACAGTTGGGGCAAGTTTGGACACAATATTCAAGCTTGATACTGCCTGAATTTGGATTGTGATCAAATTTTTCCGATCAAAGGTTTCCGACACAAAATAAATGTGGTCAAAGATCTTAAAAATTTGAAATGAGACATTTAATTTACCTAGAATGGTCTGATATCCAAAATCTAACAACATAGTTAGAGTCAGCATTAATAAAAAAAACACCAAAAATTTAATTTTAGTTGAAATAAAAAAAAGTTGAATTTTGGACCCTTCAAAACTTAATATTGACTAATTTAAAAACAGGGCTCAAAATAAAAAATCTAAATGCACAATAACATTCAGCATACCATACAGCCGCAATAATTCAGATTTTGATGAAATCAAACAAACTTTAATTTTGGACCCTTTTGACCTCAATGCAGACCAGTTTGAAAATGGGGCCCAATATATTGCAATACTGTGCAAATGACGATTTCTTGCTATTGCGCAATACTGTGCAATTGAAGATTTCTTCTTGAAGCTTTTCAAAAAAATTGAAATTTCTAAAATTTTGAAGAAAAAAATATAAACCCCCCCAAAAAATTGGAACCCCCCCTGAAGTAATTACCCCCAAACTCAATCCCAGCCTTCCTTTTGTGGTATGGAACCTTGTAGTACAATTTAAGAGAGATCCATACACTTAAACACAAGTTATTGTCTTAAAACTACAAACATGCTTGTTTTTGGCCCCTTTTTGGCCCCTAATTCCTAAACAATTGATACCATAACCCCCAAAATCAATGCCAACCTTCCTTTTGCATGTTTCGTGGTATTGAACCTTCTGGTAAAATTTCATAGAGATCCATTCACTTAAACTAAAATGATTGTCCGGAAACCAAATGTGTCTTCGGACGACGCCGACGACGACATGATAGCATTATACGAACGCAAAAAATTGTTTGCGGTCGTATAAAAATGCAAACAACACTTTATATATTTCATGTGACCTTTTCTGGATTAACCTTCATCAGAAATGATCAAAGCCGAATATTTGAAAGCCAAGAACAGAATCAGTTGAAGAGATATATGACCAAAGAGAACCTAAAAAAATAGCCAAATCCATCAAAGTCAAATTTGCCTGAGGAAGTTGAAACCTTAGTTTCTTTAAAATTTATTAATTTTTGAAGTATAAAATGTAAGTGATTTAACACTGCATTTCTTTTGCTTAAATGAGCAGTTTTGACCAGTTTGAATGTCCCTTTTGGTAACTTTCCCCTCTTCTTTTTTTTTTAACATACTGTGAAAGTACTTTTATTTGAGAGTATCAAATTTCGTGGATTGAGCAAAAGTTACATGTTCGTGGGTTCTTATATTTGTGGATCTAATTTTCTGAAAAAAAATTTCAGGTGAAGAATTTAAACCCATCAGAAACGAAGATTCTTGAAAATAATCATATGGTGTTCATTTTCACTTACATGTTCGTCTTTCATTTCTGACAACATTCATCAAATTTTAATAAAATAATTGTTTTCAGAATTAAGCTGATACATCTCTGAATACAAATTGTCTCATTGAAGGAAATTGCAAAGTAAACATTTTAATTGTTGCAAATGTGTAATCAGAAGTGGTGACACTAATTAACCCGTGATCGAATGATCAACAGAATAACGATCATCAAAGGTGTTAATTGGGCCATAAACATATTATTTAAAGAAAGACCAATATGAAATTATTATTGTTTTAGTGAGAGAATTTTGAGGAGATAAAATAAACTCTTCATCATCATATATCTTCAACGGAAGTCTGACTTTCATCTTTCAAAACCAATTTTTCATGAGAATTAAATGGTTAAAAGTCGTATAACTTAAGTTATTTAAAGATTAAAATCCTGTCTAAAGTTGTACATGCTACACTGGTGCTACGCAACTGCATATTGTTCATAGTGCGTTTGCTGATGTTCAATGTTTTTCTCTAGATTATATGCCCGTATCCATGTAGTCAAACCTACAGGGGATCTTTCCATGTCCTGATTTGGACAACAGTTGTTATATTTCGTTGGACACTTAAATTTGTGGATAAAGCCTTCCACGAAAACCACGAAAGTTGAAAGTCAATTGTATTTGAACAAGCTTAAACATAGTCAAAGTACAATTCCATCTATAGGAATTATTTATCTAGAGGTACTTGTAGCAAATCTTGTCAAATGCTACACCACCATACCCTTGTATTGACTCATCTTAATATACAAAGTATTCTGATCTTAACCATGCCGACAAACATCCCAACCTTATTCCCAAACACCCTCTGGTTGTGGTCAACAATAATTTTAAACATCAATAATATCTTCAAGGCATTCAAACATTCTGTTGGACACAACTTTGTTTATTTGAAAGTGGGGATTTAAAACCAAACTAATCTTTTGGCCTTGACCTTGCAGGCAGACATTTAAACCTCCCTTTAATGGTGGGAATCACTAATACCAAGTATCAATAATAATTTGAATGGCATTCAAAAATACTATGATAAACACAATTTACACAGACAGACAAAGATATTCCTATACATCCCCAGAAAATGGAATATTTATAAAAAACTGAAGTTTATACCCAGCTTTTTCCATAATATTATTTATAAAGGAATCATGTTTTTTCAAAAATTGTATTTCAATATTTTTAGGCATGATAGATGTATTGGTACAATTACCAGAAGCAGATTCTGAATTAGCCTCTGGACACAAAAAACAAGACCTGGTAATCAGTGATAGGCCTTAATAAAGATAAGTTTTCTATGCCAAAAATAAAAATGCAATGCTTCTATGTGGTTATATAGTTGACATTCAAAAGATGTTTAGACGAATTATATATATATATATATATATATATATATATATATATATTCAAGAGTCTATCCTAAATTGGGGTAAATTATATGGCCTTCCAAATACCGTTTCGATTCCTAACATCACTGAAGAGACATTAATTGTCGAAATTCCGGATATGGTGTACAAAAACCTTTGCACCTTTTGTTTGCGGTATACCATCTTTTCCGCAAGTTTATTGTTTTCTGTTTAGTATTCAATTTATAATTGAGATCCATTTATTACATCGGTGATCCGTTTATTTGGCAATCGCCAATGGCAGTCAGCAGTATATATATACAAGTCTAAATTGAAAACAACGTTCTATCCTATGATTGCGTTGGATAAAAACCGCAATTTTTATACGTGTGCATGCAAAACAAATTTCTTGGTAGAGGGGTCTAAATACAGCACAAACAACATTTTCCAAAAGACCAAAAAAGTGAAAAAGTATATTTTAACAAAACGCATTTGACTAGCAGGTCGAACAACGGATGTTCTGAAACTCTGCTGACTGCCAT